TCTCTACCGTCATCTCAGTGAATCATCACTATTGATTCTACGTCCTTTCACATCAAAAAGCCTCACCAAGCCCATATTTACCGACCTGATCAGCAACTGCAGGGAGATCCCTTGACCGGCCGACCCCATCAATGGCATTCGCCTAAAGTGTGCCTCCAAAAGAGACCCGTCACTTTTCCAGACGCCAAGCCAAACAGCTTGCCGAGAATCACATCTTGCAATCCGTACGGAGCAGGTATAAACATGTCGAGTTTTCCTTCCCTGTGCCCCAGAAGAAGGCCTCAGCCGCCTTAAGCGCCCTGGTCACACCAACTCGAGAGCCCATATTGAATCAACATGAACAGTTCATCATGACTGTAGCCTCGACACTCTGTAGCTGACAATACAGGTTGCTCTCGGCGGTTGCCCGGTCCCCTCTAGCAAAATACGCTACCTTGTCCCACCAAGACAACACCGCCATCTCGCATTATCACGGCACAGCCCCCGCAGGCCACTTGACCTCCAAGTTTCAACAACCACGACCCGTCCTCGATTGTCTTGCTCTCGACATCGTTCACCCTCGTCTGATGACTCGGAGCTAATGCAAGTGACACTGGCCTCATCCCAGCCATGAACACAATCCCACGTGTTATTGGCCCGTTCCATGACCGCCAACACGGGGTCCCGCCCCAATCCGCAACAGCGAGCGGCCCGCTGCTGCAGGGGTCCTGCTCCCTCTCAAAGGGTCGCCGCGGCCTATTATGCGGCCGCATCTCTGATCTCTTGCGTAAGTGGTGCCTGCGGAACGTGCGCCATGGGATGGGGGCCGAGATGCGGCCATGATATAAGACATCCGACGAACCTTGATATCGAACCGGACCCTCTTGTTTAAGTGTGATGTGACGACAACAGGAGATGCTCGGCACGTATCACGATACCAGGGCATAATACGCGGGCTCTACCCATGCGAGCTGACTATCGTCATAGACGGCAGATGGGTTTCCCTGCGGGAATCGACTGACAGAGTTGCATCAGCCCATACCCCAGCCAGCCACGGCTCGCTTGTCACACCGCAAACTGTCAAACACCGACCGCTTCTAGTGATGTGATTCAAGATTGGCGACGGGGTTATGCCCATCCCGTCGCCTTCGCCGAGCTGGGTTGCTTCAGGGTGCCTCGTCCCAGTTTAAACCCGTCCAGCATTCAATATCCACGTGTTGCGATCCAAGGTCAGCCTGCTACGTATGGCCTTATAATGACTCGAATATCAACTGTCGTTGCATGACCCAGGGTCCTTCTATCTCGTCGAGTGTCTCGAAGTAGTTGTCCTGGTTTGATTCGTTGCTGGGAGCCGGGAAGCAGTGGGGTCATATTTCCTAGTACATGAACTGACGACATGCTGCTCCACGGGACGTCATTCAGCCCAGAACTTGCGGTGTTGTATGTATCCATTCTTATCAGGCTTAACCAAGAGGGTTGACCCCGTCTAAGCGGGTTGCTAGTGCTCCTGCGGATAGATGGATCATGGTGAATATAGCAGAACCGGCGCTCTTGGCGGAGATACGGTGTGCTTTTCAACTTTTGATTGATGGGAAGTTTAGCAAATCCTTGTAACCTCTATTCAGAGACTATTTCTAACTGACAGCACATGACACATGAACTCTATGTTTGCCTCGTTTCTATAGACAGTGATACCGTTCAGGTTATAATTACAGAATAGTCGATCTAAATCGAAGGGCTGCCAGCCTTCGTTTACAGTTCAAGCTCCAAGCTACCAGGACATTTTGAGTGTTGGTTAACGAAACGCTCTGTGGTGGGCCGGCAGTGGGGCCGATAGACCGGGACTTTGAACGGAAGCAGGCCAGGGAACTACACTAAAACGTTATCTATGTGAAAACTCACTCACACCCCCTCAAATCATGTCAATGCTCTCTTAGAGGGCAGAGCCGAGGGTTTGATGACTTATTCGCATCTCCGTTGCACAGACTGGGCAGGATTCTGAATCGCCAATTGCAGGTCCGGCCCTCAACAATCCGGCATCCGGTATGGTGTAGTGGCTAACATTTCGCGCTCTCATCAACTCAGTTGAGAGATCCTTTTCCGCGGAGCCCAGGGTTCGATTCCCTGTACCGGAGAAACACTTTCTTTTTGGTTGTCATGTCGTTGTTTAGTGCCATTATAGTGCTTCCTCTCCACGAGGGATTGACTGACTGTTTGTCTATTTATGATCTTGTCTTTCATCCCATGAAGTTCTGTACGCCATAAGTCCTCTATATTTTAATATAAATAAACGTCTTTATAATACAGGCAGGCTATGGGGTATATTTCGCGAGAGGCAGCCGTATGTTTTGACCTAACTCTGTTCCTATTCATGCATGGCGAGTTGTGTTTCATTCTAGTTTTATTCTAAGGCACTTCTGGACTTTTAGATGGATTCAAAGTTGTCTGGGTGTGAAAGAAGAAGCGGCCAATTCAAATCGAACTTGATCCGGCTGTGTAGGCTATGAATCATTAGTGTGTCTCCCAGTTCGTGTTAACCATAAACCCGCAGAAGAGCTTTACTGCTGATAAGTCACTTTAAAGGCCAATTTGAATCGGCTTATGCTTGAACCCGAGCTATGGAACAGTATTTCCCAGGTTTGTCAATCTCCGAAGTCTCTCACGCATGTATAGCTTACCCTAGAGACAAACAGCTAGACCAGTGTTTATTTGTGGGTGGGGTTCTCTTCACAGAATCATGTTTGAAACATAAGTATCTGCAGTTCTCTAGGGCCCTACATGTGGCTTCGATGATCAAGTTCGATATATGGTGGTTCAGTTGCTGTGGCTTGCGACGAGGGTAGTGACCCTTTGTAGGTCAAGTAGCCCAGTGTTTTGTAATCCCTTCTCCTTCGTTTCCCACCAAGCTAAATAAGTTCTCACCCCCTTGATAGAGATGAAAAATAAGGTAGCGGGCCGTGGCCCGAAATGACGAGAGAGGAGGAGTATGATGAAGTCATCGGGTGTAGCAAGAGGGGCTCATAACTCGCATCCATTCTTCCCGAAACTTGACTTCAACAACAGTTGACATTACCATCTTGAAGGAAACCAGGGAAACATCGAGAGCAAACACACACAATGCCACAAGAAATTGCAATCCGCCGTTTCGCAAAAGCGATGCACGTCGTCTACGGCAACTACGACAAACTGTCCGACGCCGACGCCGAAAGGTGGGTCCCGCCCGATGATCCCGGAGCCGGAGGCCACCGCGGCCGGTACCTCTGGACGGACGCTTTTGGCGTCGTGAATTTGATTACTCTGTTTGAAACGACGACTACACAAAAGTATTTGATTCTGGCGAGGCGTCTCGTTCAGACTGTTCATGATGTGCTCGGCCGCACGAGAGATGGATCAGCGAGACTTCCTGGTGCGACGGATGAGGAGCCGCTGAAGGGTGGGTTGAGGATAGGCAAGATGGATGCGTCAGGGAGTGATGGAGATGGTCAGTATCACCACTATCTGACCCTCTGGATGTTTGCTCTCAACCGTCTCTCCTGGGCAACTGGAGACCCCTCCTTCAATGATTTGGCCATCCAGCTCGCAAGGTGGATCCACCCTCACTTTGTCTTTCGGTCATCAAACAGGCTGAAGATGGTCTGGAAGATATCTATGGATATGCAAAAGGTTCTGGTACCCTCTGAAGGCCACTTAGACGCCGCAACGGGCTACGCCATCTACCGAATGATTCAGGAGGCGGCAGTAAGACAAGGCCGAAAAGATCAACTCCTCAAACAAGAGATCAGCGACTACGAGCAGATTATGAGCCGAAAGGGCTCTGTAAATCCAAGCGGTGATCCATTGGATTTGGGAATGGGATTATGGATCGCTCACTTTTACCAGAACGAAGAGTGGGCAGACACCTTTACCGAGGAAGCGCTGGAGCTCGCCGACCAGATCTTTGCTGGCAAATCTACGGATATGAGCGGTAGTGCTTCTCACAGACTCGCGTTCAGGGAGTTTGGCGCTTGTCTTGGAGTTCAGTGCGTCGGGGCGGATGAATCTCTGAAGACTCAGATTGATATGTTGATGGGGTTTTGGGAGAAACATCTGGAGCAGCATGACAGGGATGGCCTGAGGCCTATTTCTCAGGTCATGTATGCGGCGGCTTTGATCCCTGGAGGTAAGTCTCTGACTCCGTTAAACCAAAGGTCGTTAACTCATGGTCTGTAGCATTCCGGAGAGGCTTCATTGTTGGTAACGAGCCGTAAGTTTGCGTAAGGGACGGGGGTGTGTTTGCGCATTTGGGTGTTTATGTTTTTGGACCTATGTTGGGTAGTTCATGGGCTTAATGACAGTATGATGGAATTAGGAGAGGAATAATGAGGTGAATAAATGTTATGATATTGGACTTTGTTGGCCAAACTGGGCAGAATGACAGGACATCTTAATCTTCATTAGCTTTCCAGTCATGACGGCCCAGGGATGGGTTGTGGGAGCTTCTATATGTAGAAATTGTGAACGACTTTATGAATAGTATTCCACTTCGATGTGACACTTTAAGCATGATCAATATGTGTAAGGTAGTGGTATCATTTGACTGCAACTAGAAATATTTCCAGTTTTTTACATAATCCTTCACTGTAGTCAACATCGGTAGCCATGTTTCAAAAGATTTTTAACATAAAATTCTTATCGAGGTATAAGTATACATCAGCAAGCACAGCCCGCCGTCATGCTCCGTCTAGAGAGGTATTCCATCCAGGTTTGGTATCTAAAAGGGGGAGTAACGAGACATTCTCGCAGACTCGTACAGAAAGAAGCGAAAGAGAAAGCAAAACTCCACGCAACTGCTATAGCCAACCGACCAACAGGCACAAAAACCAGACCGTTCCAATAAAAGAAAATCAAGCACAGGCCGTGTACGTCATTCGTAATTCCCACGCTCGTATGGTATCTTTGAATCATCCACTCCCATTGCTATTACCACCCCTTTTCCCTTGGCCTTCAACGTGTTTCCAAGTCAGGTCAACTAACAGTTTTGCTTAGTCCTGGAAGAACTTGACAATCTGCTGCAGGTCGCGCAGACCGACACCGTGCTTGGGGTAGCAGATGTAGACCTCCTCGCCGAGAGCGCCAAACTTGGATCGGAAGCTAGCCTTGCGACGGAGGCCCAGGCTGTCGACGATGGATCGGTAGGTAGCGGCGAGGAAGCGGGCACGGAGACCGCCGACATGCTCGCCAGGTGTGAGTCTCTCAGAGACACCAGCACCAAAGGTGACTTGGCCAGTGACGCTGGACAGAGCGTGGCCGATGAGGACCTCGATGGCACCGTTGACAGCGCCGGGGAAGTCCAGAGCCCACTTGACTTGCCAGCCATGACGGGGAGAAAGCTTGGCCAGAACCACGAGGGAGAGGACCTTGCCGTCCTTCTCGGCGGCAAAGTATCGTCGGTGCTCCATGTCAACCCAGGGGCGGACCTCGGTCAAGTGAACCTGCTTGCCCTTGCGGGAAGCCTTCCACTCCTCAATGGCAGGGTTGGCACGCTTCATAAAGTCTTCGTCGGCCTTGACCTCGTGAATCTTGACACCTTCACGCTCAACACGGCGTGCCTTGGCGGGGAGACCAGTGATCTGAGCGGGGTTGTGCTTATCAGCATCGACACGTTGTTCCTCAGTGCAGGACAAGCTCCGCCAGCGGAGCTCGGAGGCGAGGATCTTCTGGACCTCATAGGAGACGAGCATCCAGACAGGGGTCAGGCGCAGGTCAACGGTGATGTGCTTGACAAAGGCACGGATGACTTCCTGGTATTGGCTGCGGTCGCAAAGAGGATCACCGGTAATCATCGCAAACTTGTCTTGGGGAACCCAGCCAACAGCGGCACCAGTCTCGTGTCGCCAGATCTTGAAGCGATCATCAAGCCAGGATGTGTTGGAAGCGTCACCGTAGTTGGCAATAAGCTTCTCCAATGCAGGAGGAGAGTCGGCGTGGTGAGGCTTGGTAGTATCAGCCTCAGGGTGAGGCAGACCAGGAGCCTTGGTTGGGAGAGACTTGGGGTCACGGTGGAAGAGAGAGGCGTATCGAACATCGCCAAGCTCAAGCATCCATGCGACAATACGCTCGAGACCAAGACCGGCACCGGCGTGAGGAGGAGCACCAAGCTCAAAGGCGGTCAGATAATCTTCCATACCATCCTCAGACATGCCAGCGGCAGCCATGTTGGCTCGAAGCTCTTCAACATTGTGGATACGCTGGCCACCGGAGCAAATCTCCTGGCCTCGGATGAAGATATCGAAAGATCGAGTCCACTTGGGGTCTTCGGGGTCCTTGGCGGTATAGAAAGGACGAGCGTTGGCTGGGAACTTGTCAAGGACGTAGTAGTCGGTGTTGTACTTTTCGCGGACGAGCTGACCAAGGCGGATCTCATCAGGAGTAGAGAGATCCTCTTCCTCGACGTCGCGGCCATCGTCACGGAGCATCTGAAGACCCTCGCTGAAGGGGATAATGGGAGTCTCATCGAGCCACTTGAACTCTCCGCTAGGCCATCGCTTGCGAATGACCTCGAGCTCTCGGGAGGAGTAGACGGTCCTGAACACCTCCTTCAGGAAGATATCGATAAACTGAATAACCTCATGATAGTCACTGTCGATGGCCATCTCGAGATCGAGGCCAGTGTACTCGGTAAGGTGACGGTGAGTGTTTGAGTTTTCGGCGCGGAAGACAGGGCCGACCTCAAAGACACGACCAAAGTCGGCAGAGATGGACATCTGCTTGGCGAGCTGAGGGCTCTGAGCGAGGAAGGCTCGGCGACCAAAGTAGTTGACGGGGAAGACGGCGGCGCCGCTTTCGGTGGCAGCGGGCTGAAGCTTGGGAGTGTGAATCTCGACAAAGCCATATTGCTCAAGGGTGTTTCGGAACACGCGCGAGACCATAGATCGCACGCGGAAGAGAGCCTGGTTAGAGGGATGTCGAAGATCGAGAATGCGCGAGGACATGCGGTTGCGCAGGGTCTCAGGAGGCTTGTAGTTGCTAAAGGGGAGGTTCTGAGCAGGGTTGACTAGGTGAACAGAGCAGATGTCGACCTCAACTCCAGAGTGAGTCGCCGATCGGATGGGCTGTGGGGGCTGCTTGAGGATACCCGACACTTGGACGAGAGACTCGGAGCTGATCTTGCGCACCCACTTGACGAAGTCGGCGTTATCGGCATCGCGGGCGAGGACGCCCTGAACAGAGTGCGTCTGGTCTCGGAGAAGGAGAAAGTCAAGCACCTTGGACAGCGGTCGCTGAGTCTCGATACGGGCTCGGAATGTGACCTCGGTGCCGATGGGGAGAGTATCGAGCTGGGCGACAGTGTTGATCTCTCCCGGGTGCACAGGCCAGTCGGCGCTCATACTGGTGCGGCCGCTGTCGAGAGATGTTCGGCTGCTGCTAACGGCGGCATCTCGATTGGTCGAACCATCCATGCTCGACCTGGCCGAGTCCCTGTTGTGGAGCTCGACGCCGCTGTCGCGCATGTTATTACGGAGGATGCTGGCGGTGGTTGAGTGTCTGGGCGGTGACGTGACCGTGCTGTTGGTGTTACCGCTTTGGGAAGTCGCGACGGCGACGTTGGTGTTTTTATTCGCCATCCAGGGCACGGGGCTGTGGATCGACGTCGGTGATGATGTAAGGCTTGCCTCGGACAGAACCGAGTCTATGGTGGTCGAGTCGGAGGAGGAGAAGGTGGAGGAGGCGGAACCAGAAGTGAATGCAGACGAGGTAGAAACCGCCAAGACTGGAGATGGGGGAGACGAGGAAGAGGTCGAGCCTTTAACAACTCGATGCTTAGGTCCCAGTGGGATGCCAAAGGCTGAGGCGACGGGAGCAAGGATGCCCGTCATAGCTCGGTCTGGCGCAGGTGGAGGGTGTGCGTGCGCGTGTGGCACGGTGGGGTCTGCGAGGAAACGAGCCACACTTGGAAAAGCTGGGTTGTCAGTGCTACCAGAGAGTCGATGACGATCGGGTGGGCTGCTTTTGGTTGCTCTGGCTCGTTTTGGGGTTGGGTTAGACTGGCGCCGGTCGGGGGATCAGAGCCGGGGGGACGACAGGTTGATGTAGTTGCTCGAAGGCGGCTATGATGTCTTGCTGTCTTGGATCTCTTCAAGGCGGAATGGAATGGAGCAGGAACTAATACACGTGTACGAATACCGTGTGCCAAGGAAGCAAGGCAGAGTAGTGTGAATGGCTGGCAGTCAATGATGATCTTCTGTCATTCACTTTCCTGAGACGAGGTCCAGTGGCGTTTATATCATTCATCAATGCTTGCCGGGCATCTCGGGGTCCGATGGGGGGTCCTGCTTAGAAGCCTGCTTTTCCCTAAAAACTCTTTCAGCTTACACAGCTAGCCCGTGGATCTCGGCCTCGGACCCGGCCTGCAAAGGCCGTGAGACGGTGGAGGGTGCATGCAGAATGACTAGGTCGGCATCTCGTGGAGAAGAAAATTATGAGTGACGGTACCGAGATATCCCCTAGATTCTATGCGGTATTGTCAGCATGGGCCATTAGACTCGGGCCTAGCAGCCCTAGACCGCGCGGGAGACGGGTGTGCTGACAATTCAAACGGGGTCGGTAGTTGTGGCGTGCGGACACAGCGAGTCCCACGATGCGTCATGGTTGTTATCTCCGGCACTACGCTACTGTAGACACGACCTTTTCACTTGCTCTGACCATCCAAGTATCGAGAGGAAATCGTCGTGTATCGCGGAAATGGGCACCTGGTGGCTGAACCATCCCGCATCACCTGCAACCGCGTGACGGCAGTGGAACACGACTCAGGCCAGTCAGAGACAGGGAGATGGGAAACTCGGCACTGGGGTCTGCATCAGAGATGCTGTCATGTCCAAAGATTCATGCTGGCTCTTGGCTTGGACCAAAACGGACAAAGCTACCCAAGGGTGAGCTGCCGTTTGCCGTCTCGGCACGTTGCAGAGTACCCTCCAGTTGACGTCCAAGTACCGTGTACGTGTGAAAGCCCACAGTTTCCCGCCTCGGGGGGATGCGAAAATTCCGTGAGCAGATGGAGGGTGGTTGTTCGCGCTTCTCTTTGTCATGCCGCACCCCGGACTTCCGGGGCGAGCATCGGCGCCGAGCGGGGGCCGTTGATTGGAAGGACGGTAGAGAAGCTCCGGTGCCCGCGGGAAATCGGCCAAGCCTCTGACACAAACCGGCAATCTCTTGGCGGCTAACCAAACGAGCCATGAAGAAAATCATGTATTCTATTCTTGTCATGATTCTCGTGCAACAAGATGGCTGCAACCACCAAAACAGGACAGAGCACCAGGAACAATCAGGGGCGGGAGGGTTTGATTGCTAAGGTTGCTCGAGTTTTTTTCGTACATGTGACGTCAACAATCGAACTTGGGATCGGAAGCGTCGGGTCTTAGAAAGCGCGACCCACATTAAGCCTCTTCCCACTTGTTCCTGTCGACATTCCTTGAACGGCCCCCACTTTTCCCGTGCAGTCGCCAACCGACGTCATTGTCATTTGTCACTTGTCACTCCAAGGAACCTGAACCTTCCAGAGCCTGAGGGTCTCGTCTCATCTCGCATCTTCGACGCCATTCGCATCATATCGCTCGCAAACCGCCCAGTGGCCCCTCTAGAGATACAGGCGCAAGGGGGAAACCGGCTTTTATCGTTGATTCTCGAGGGGCGGTACAGAGGTAGATATGGGCGCGCTCTGGCTCTGCTTACCATCCTCCTCGACAAGTCTCCAGACACCCATCATCAAACCATCATTCTCTTCATTCCTCCTGATCATCGGTAGCAGCCAATCCCCGGCTTGTTTCCCCGTCCTGTTAGAAGCTAGACCACGTGTTTGAACGCGGCCGTTTCCCTCCACCGCTCCCCGTTGGCGGTGCTTGCCTGTCCATCCTCGCCGTTGCAGCCGGCCTCGTCTTGGCTGGCGTTTTGCTTGGTCACTTGTGCTTCATCGTCTCTCCTTATTCCTATCTACCCTTACCAAGCTACCCTGTGTGTTATTGCAGACCACTCCTGCATATATCACTCAGCCGAGTTCCGCGGGCTGCTGGGACCACACCTCTGCCCTTGAAATGGCGATGGAGACCGAGGCCACACCCTCCGAGTCACATCCAACTACGCCGGAACCCCCGGACTATGTCAACCCTCTTGAATCCAGCTCACGCTGGTACCTGATTGCCCGTGCCCAGGCCATCCGTTCTGCCGCGAGCCTGGGCTTCAGCATCGCCAACCGCACCGATCCTCCTGCTCCCTCGCCCACACGGGACATTTGGCTGGATGCCACGCTCGCCAAGGCTTCGCCCAGCAGCACGGATCGGGCCAAGACAAAGATCAAGGCCGAAGTATGGATCCCGCCCCGTCCCGCTCTCGGCGCTCGGACAGCTGTCATCAACTTCCACGGCGGCGGATGGATTCTTGGGCAAGGCACTGATGATGCCCGATGGGCCGGCGCTGTCATGACGAACCTAGACGCCGTTGTCTTTACTGTCAACTACCGACTGGCACCGTCATGTCCCTTCCCAACTCCGATGGAAGATTGTGTCGACGCTGTCCTCCAGATCAAGCACCGCGCTGCAGAGTTTGGCATTGATCCTGATCGTATCATCCTCTCGGGCTTCTCCGCCGGCGCCACCAATGCTCTTGCAACCTACCTCATGCTCACGGATCCCGGTCGCTGGGGCTACAACTTTTCCATTGAGCCTCCCCGCATTGCGGGGTTGGCTGTCTTCTATCCTGTTCTTGACTGGACCATCTCACGCCCGGAGAAGCGGCTCACATGCTCAAGGCCGGACCTCACACTACCCAAAGGGCTTACGGATCTTATAGATGCATCTTTCATCTATCCAGCCATTCCCCGGGAGGATAGATCAGACCCACGTCTGTCACCGGGTCTGATGCCTGACGAGCTCTTGGGGAAGCTTCCCCCGATCCACATCGTCTTGTGCGAGTATGATATGCTCCTCGCTGAAGGTCTCAAATTTACCAATCGACTCAAAGCTGCCGAGAAACGGTTCACTATGCGCTTAGTTGCAGGCGAGAGACATGCCTGGGATTGTCCTCCACCCATGTCACCTAAAGAGAGCGTCATCATCGAGTACCAAGAGGCTGTCGAAGCCATGGCCAGCTGGTTTGGGAAGAAGTGTGAGACCGACACAGAGTCTATGCGGTCTATGAAACTCAAGCGGCCGACGCTGCGACGGCCCAAGTATCTCTCATTCAAGTCCTGGTCTGGGAGGTAGTGGCCCCTGGCAGGCTACTGCTTGGGCGTCGTCTTGATAATGGTGTTAGTTTGCCTTTTGATTCTGCTCTTGTTGGCGTTGGTATCTGGTATATCTGGTTTAAGTAGCGTGGCGCTTTTTCTCGCAAGAAACGGAGGTCTCAACCGAACAAAGGCTGGGGAGGAGGAGTCTCCATGATAGACGGGCGGTGGCGCTCGATTTGCTTTATTGCGTTTCAGTATATACTATGCTTTGCGGGCGTGAGACTGGTGGCACATACACTAGACGATACAGAATAAAAACATGCTTAAGCATATCAGTTTAGGACACACGGGGGAGTGGCGGTTTCAAGAATCGTCACATGGACAAAGAGTCAGAAAAACCTCTGGAGCCAACTCAAAGCCAAACAAGCATTCCCAGCCCTATCTCGGCATCGGACGCCCGCTGTTTTCGGCGTCCGACCGATCGGTCTGTCCCCTTGATTGAAAGAACCAGGTACTTGTGTCCACCGAAAAGATACATCTGGCATTCAAAGCAAACAAAAAGGAATCCGCTGGTTTGGTTCAAGGGCCCAGGGACTAAAGGCATGCTGCCCACCTTCGGAAGCGTCGGAGGTGTGTGTGAAGAAGGTCTCGGGAGGCTAGACGGCGGGCGTCGACTGGTTCCTTCACCTTGTCTCTTTTTTACAGCGTTGTCTTGGCTTCAATTTCAAATGATATCTGAGAAGGGACATGCTATCGAAAGAAACGTGGGCGAATAATGATTCCACTTCTCGTCATCGCGAGCTCTCGACAATCTCACGATTTCTTCTCGTTACTGCAAAACAAAGCGATAGCGATAAACGACGGGAGCGAATCTAGACCTGCTGTGGGGAGACGGCTCAACTTGGTCACCTGCATCTTCTTCTCTCTCTAATCCTTTGGCTTGTGACTGACTGAACTTCCTTTCGGACTTTGTAAGCATCCCATTTTTCGCGACCGGGTTTCTTGACGTGTCCGCATTCCGTGGAGCCCGGCATCTCCGTCAAAAAGGTAAGGTTTAGTGACAACAAATTCAATGCCCGCGGACTTTTGTTAACTCTTGCGGAGAAGATCGGGCTCGTGATCCCCATGTCTCAGGATACAAAATTGTCATCCTTTACAAACTGCCGAAATCTGCCATTTCCATATTATGAACTTTTGGGTGTGCCATCATATTATGCGCAGTTGCGATCATCTCATCCCTACGCCCTTCCCATGAGCATAAACCAACTCTATTTCCTAGATCTTACCAACCCTTTACAATCTTCATGTAAGCATCTCAAAATATCCCATCAGCCTCCCTCCCCCTTCTGTCGATCCTTCTTTGAAATGATCCACGCCTCCCGGCCGTGAGATGGTGTGCTCGGCTCCGGGTTGCCGACTGTCCTAGCCTCAAAGGCGGGCGGATCTGCTCTCCCGCACAGTATGTATGACGACAGGGCACTGTCTGAAGCTTTCATGATTATCATGACCGCCAACTTTGGCCAAGATGGGATTTCAAGCGAATCTCAATTTGTCGTTGCTTCAATACTAATGGTCACGTTGAGCTCACTCATCACTGATCTTCGTCATCATCAAAATGATCTTCTTGGCAACTCTTTCAAGGTTGAGCTCAAGAGAGCGATATCGGGGCCGATTGGCATGCCAAGATCGGTCCAGCTTCAGCTCCTCTCCATTCGAGTTGAGAAAAATCATCCGAACATCGGCCTCCTACACATGATATTAAGCTTATGCGAGTTTCCTATTTTGTCTTACAAAACATTGAAGTGCCTGATGCGTACAACAAGGTAGCTAACCAATTGACCTATCGTTGGCCCCTCGACAGTGAAGCGCCATTTCAAGATCCAGAACGGTTATTCACGAGGCCAAACACTGCATTTAAACACTGCATCGACAGATTCATGGTTGCACAAACGTAGATTCGTTATCATTAACTCGGCGGCAGCAGCTCTATGCTGTCACAGCCTGCCAGGGCTGTTTTGTGTTGTTTAAATATCTCGACATCCATCTTGCAAGAAAGACGTATCTACCAATCACGATGTTTTCCAGATAAATTGCTGATCGCTACATACTCAGCTCCGCCGTAGGGTACGTGCAGGGATTCTGGTTTCTGGTAATGGCGAACCAATGGTTGTTTACCACTTGGCCTCCTTGCTGTTGATGAACTCCTTGAGGATGTTGACAACCCTGGTGAAGGCAGCAAGGTAGGCATCGAGCTCAGTCTGGACGAGCTCGGGGGTCTCGCCAAGCTTGGCATAGAAGTCCTTTCGGTAGGGAACAGCACTCATAGCAGCGCTGAAGATGGGCTTGACAAGAAAGCTGTGGTGAGGCTTCAGGGTTTCGGCATACGAGGTGCGGAAAGAGTCAGCCAGCTCCTCCGAGGGGTTGGCGACGTTGCGGACGAGGGCCTGGCAGGTGAAATCGAGACCACTGTTGGGATTGGCAAGTTAGTCAATGATTATAATATGACAGGAGGACATGTTCCTTACCGGATGAGCCACAGAGCACCCTCAGTAGCCACGTGCTTCTTGGTCTTGAGCTCATTTCGGCAGAGGTCCTGGATGTTGCCTGACTCGGCAGGAGCAGCGGCCTGACGGGCACGGAGTTTCTACCCAATTGTTAGGCATATTCTTGTAGGATATGGTCGTGATGGAGAATGTAGGTTTGTCGATGTAGTCATGGAGTAAGGGGTAGGTTACGGACCTCGATGTTGGAGAGGATATCCTTCTTGACTGGGCCGAAGGCAACACCACCGATGGCATCTAAGAAGAGGGCAATTAGATGTGTAAATCAACATTTCATGCATAAATTCTTACCAAAGATGGTGGTCATGGCCTCGGAAGCCTCGAGGAACTCGGTGGTAGAGACAGCATTGCCGTTGGCCTCGTCGACAGGGACATCAGAGTAGGTACGCTTCAGGGTCTGCACAATAGTGCCACCAGGGGGGTATGTAGCAGTAGACATGATGAAGGATGGACGAGGAGATTGATTTGGAGGAAAGTTGAGAAGCTGAAGATGAAGGGGAGAAGATAAGATGGGAAAAGGGAGAGGTCGTTTGAGGTTGCCGTGGCGGTAGCAGAGCGGTCAAGCTGTCCCCTTGAGGCAGGTACAGGAGGGGTCTAGGCTCTGGCTGGTAAGGCAGGGGGCCACTAAGAGAGGGGTCGAGACGGTGAACGGAGGGGCACAGCACAGTGCAGATCGATAAGATAGGGGGTTCAAAGTGCGTGCAGCAAGGGGGAGAGAGGGGCAATGGCGCACCCCACACTGTGTTTCTCCGGAGCCGGACTTTTTTAGCCTCCGAAGAGGACCGTCCAGGAACCCCACGCATTCCCACCTTGAGCGGCTCGCAGAATGGGCGGAGACAGAAGCTCCATGGTACGAGTTTGAGCGGAACCTGAGCTGAGCGGAAAGACAATGTGTTTTACCCGCAGTGCTTTTGATACGAGAGACACATGGCGGAAGCTCACCGCCAAGGGAGGGACCTAGGTCCTTGGCGGGGTCATGGTGTTGAGGTATGGTTATTGGAGTTGGGACTTGAAAAGTCATAAGATGGACGCGTATGTGATGAATGCAAACTGTACTTGGTCGATAGTATCTATATATATCCTGTCGATCCTCAATTGGAGTTGTCTTGTGTGACACGAACATCTGGTTGTTTTGAGCTCCCTCAACCTAATCCACCCATTCCTCCACCCTGCTCAACAAGCTCACTCTTGGCCAATCTTAGGTCAGTCATGGTCTTGGCAGCTGAGGTGGCCAGCATGGTCAGTCTTCTGAATGCCTATCTGCATGATCTCGGGATTATCGAGGAACACTATGAAGACGGTTTTTGAAAAGGTTGGAAGCTTCCAAGAATCGGAATAATCAACCTGAAACGCATCTCGGACCGCGCTGATATAGCTTGTGACGTCATGTCGCCCTGATGCTACCGCATAGCTCCCGACGATCAGCTTCGAAGGAACAAGAAAGCAAGCAGGGAGAGACGCGGCACAGGACGTTGCATGCAGTTCAAGCTGCTACAGCCATACGCGGATAGGGATAGGCAATGTAGGTACGGTAGCTAAGGGTCCAGGTCAAGATCTAGAGGGGAAACTTTTCTCGCAGATGGAGCTCATTCAACAAGCAATACAAGATCTTCCTCTAAACCCAGAGTTTAAAGCTTCGCATCCTCTCGAGAAGCAGCAATTGGCCCGTACGTACAAAGTGTGTGCCCACAAGCCCAGCCTCCCGCATCTGCTCTCAGCCCTGTGCGTGGCCTATTACGTGTTCGCTGTGCGGTGCGGGTCATGGCTAGAGTACGACCGATGGATGCCATGAGGTGCCGTGATGCGCTTGCTTGGCTGCCTCGACTGGGATGTGCGTCCGGGCAGCGCGTAGAGTGTCAGAAGCAGTTGTTTTTTTCTTGGTTTTCCTGGGCAAAGGTCAGCCACGCCTGTTTGTTGGACAGTTGGACCATGAAATGTTGCCTGTGCGTGGCCGTGAAGCCCGGCTTGGCGAGGTTTTGGTGGTCCTTTTTCCTGCCCTTTCAGCTGGCCCTGGGCCCTGGGGTCGATGACATCGTCTTTTACCTTCCCCCATCTACTCGCTCTGCTCTTTCCGTCTCACCAGCTGCTGCGTCCATTGTCGCGTGAGAGGGAGCCAAGGTAATTAAGACGAAAATCCTACCCAGTAGCAAAACTCAAAAAGCGACCGTCATCCTCAAGATTCCTCTTCCCAGCCTCTTTTTCTTTCCTCTCCTCTTCCTCTTCCTCTTCTATTTTTCTGCCCCTCTTTACGCCTTGACTTGCCCCTCCACTCCAATTAACATCCCCTCACCTCTCCTCCGATCTGATCCTCTTCTGCGCGCCCGAGACCCTGAAGCCTGCTCGTCTGTCGCACGCACCTTTCGACCCCTGCGAAATCTCTAGATCTGCGGTCATGTCCGACTCCAAAAAGGATGGTGGTGGGAGTAGCAAAGGGTCACGTCTGTCGTCCATGTTTGAGGGGCTTAAGATTCCAGACCAACTGCAGGACGCCAAAGTTCATCTCATCCACCAAAAGTCAGTCAATTCAAATATTCGCTTCAATTTTGCCGCTGCTGACACTCCCAAGGCACAAGATTGGAAAGCTAGGTAATCTGGTATGACCGCAACTTCAACATCCTGGCCCCACTATCATGTGTCTAGTCGCAATTACGATGACACCAAATGCGACTCTCGCAGCGAATGCAACAAAGAAACTAACACCAAATCTCAGTTCAACAAAAACCATCGTCATGACGAAGAACACGAACAACGGTGCGACGCGAAGCGCACTAAGATGTGTGAGGAGAACCGCTTCCAGTCTTACTTCCCCGAGCGTGAAGGCAACCTGGTAAAGTGGTATGTCGACGGTCGTGATTACTTCTGGGCCGTGTCTATGGCCCTCGAGCAGGCCAATGAGTCCATCTACATTACCGATTGGTGGCTTTCTCCTGAGCTGTTCCTCCGTCGCCCACCGCACGCGACCCAGGAGTACCGACTTGACAAGCTCATCAAGAGAAAGGCTGAGGAGGGCGTGCAGATATACGTGAGCATCTACAAGGAGGTCGAGTCGGCCTTGACCTGCAATTCGGCTCACTCCAAGCATGCATTGCGAAGGTATGCTACGCACATAGTGCCCCGAGGCGTGCTAAAACTAACCGCCTTTGTGCAGACTTTGCCCTAAAGGCAGCCCTGGTCATGGAAATATTCATGTTGCACGCCATCCAGATCACAACGTCTTTGAGAACTTAGGTGGTAAGTATTCAATTTGGGGCTCTCCCCTTCCGAAGCGCGGGCCGGGCCTGGAGTGGATCCCGGGATCCGGAGGCCCGTGGCGCCGGCATCGACGTTTGAGTATAATTCTAACGGTCTTACGCTTAGATATGACCCTATTCTGGGCCCACCATGAAAAGTTCATTGTAGTCGACTACTCACTTGCCTTCATTGGAGGCCTGGATCTGTGTTTCGGCAGATGGGATAACCACCAGCATGTGTTGTCTGATATTCACCCCGAAGGTGTTGTTCATGAGACTTTCCCTGGCCAAGATTTCAACAACAACCGAGTCATGGACTTTCAGAATGTCTCTCAGTGGCAGGACAACGAATTGAGCAAGGCAGACTACGGGCGAATGCCGTGGCATGACGTGGCCATGGCTGTCATCGGACCCTGCGTCTACGACATTGCCGAGCATTTCATCCTGCGCTGGAACTTTGTCAAACGTGACAAGTACAAGCGCGATGAGCGGTTCGACTGGCTACTACTCGAAGGCCGTGAAGGAGAGGACGAGGATCTAGTCGGAGTCCAACGTCCCAAGCACCCAGTTGGAGAATACGTCAGGCATCCCCACACCCCTTTGAGCACCAAGAATCTCGAAAACCGAGGAACAGTCAAGGCTCAGATTGTGCGGTCAAGCGCAGATTGGTCCAGCGGTATTCTCACAGACCGGAGTATCCAGAACGCCTATATCGATATCATCTCCAAGGCTCAGCATTATGTCTACATTGAGAACCAGTTCTTCATCACGTCCACTGGAGACCAGCAGCCCCCTATTCGCAACACAATCGGCCGTGCCATCGTCGATGCCGTGGTACGCGCCGCCAAGGAGGAACGAAAATTCCGCGTCATTGTTCTGATTCCTGCTGTACCTGGTTTTGCTGGAGACCTTAGAGACAATGCGGCTGCGGGTACAAGAGCCATTATGGATTATCAGTACAAGTCGATTTGCAGAGGCGAGCACTCCATCTTTGGCCAGTGTCGTGCCCAAGGTGTCGACCCTACAAAGCACATTTTCTTCTTCAACTTGAGATCCTACGATCGTTTGAACAAGACCCCTGGCATCGTCAAGGCTGAGAAGGAGACGGGCGTCAGCTACCAGCAAGTTCAACGTGCTGAAGCTGAGGAAATCATGGCAGAGGGTATCCACGGTAGTTATGACCCCGAAGACTCAGAGGGCGACGAGCATATGCGCGGAGATAAGAAGCAGTCTGAGTTGGACGAATCTATCAAGAGGACCATGGAAGCCCGCAGGATCTTCGAGGATGCCTTGCCGAAGGAGGAGGTGAAGACGTCGGCCACTGTTGCTCACCACGCCATGGCTGGGGGTGATTTGAACACGGAAATCTGGGATGAGGAGGACCCCGAATCCGAGATTAAGAACTGGATTCAGGAGGAACTCTACATTCACGGCAAGCTTCTGATTGTCGACGACCGAATCGTCGTGTGTGGAAGCAGCAACCTCAACGACCGAAGTCAGCAGGGTGATCATGACAGCGAACTCAGCATTGTCATGGAAGACACACGTATGATCCCGAGTACCATGGATGGCAAACCATTCGAGGTTGGTTATCATGCGGCCACCCTCCGGCGGTATCTATGGCGCGAGCACATGGGTATGCTGCCCCCGCAGCCGCATGATGCTTCTGAGGACATCAACGCCATGCCTCCAACCATTAACCCTGAAAACAACATCTGTGAGGATGATGAGAGCTACAAGTTTGTCGAAGACCCTCTTAGCGATGAGCTTTGGGAGAAGTGGACCGGCCAGGCTACCAAGAACACAGAGTTGTTCAGACATATATTCCACGCTGACCCAGATGACAACAGTAAGTACTCCCTTCCGCATAACCGGCTCACGTTGTCTAATTGCTTTCGTCAGTCAAAACCTTTGAAGATTATGATCGCTACCTTCCGCCACGAGGCGTCAAGGCCGGCCACGTCTTTGACCAATTTATGCCTCCCGAGGACTGCAAGAACAAGCTGGCACAGATTCAGGGTCACCTAGTGTGGTTCCCGCTTGAGTTCTTGAGGGACGCTGAAATGGCGGAGAGAGGACTGGCGGTCAATTCGTGGACCGAGTCCGTCTATACTTGATACAGATGTAACGCCTGAGTTTAGGAGTAACGACTGGAGGTAACGGCAGGGGTAATGAGAAAATATCATGGCGCGTTGGTGAGCTGAATGCTCTCGAGATGTTTGTTGGTGGTGTTTTGATAACATAGGTAGTTAGGTTGGACATGCATCCGTTGCCCTTATTACCAACAACCCTGGAGTTGTATCGAGACAAGATGTGGTGGCTCGTTATTGTGATTAATGCCTTGACGAATCAACTTTTGTTGAGTTAAAAACGGCTGACAACCATCTACTATCTCTATCTAAACAGTACAACAACTACTTTATTTGGTAGGTATTAAGTCCGCCTAAAGCGAAAGGTTCATGTGCCTGATAAGATCACGTGGGGCTTTCTAGATATCTACACTATGGGGGTTGGTGGTTGTATCCCCTCACTTCCTTTAACACTAACAGCGACACGTCACCCATGTCTCGATCCAGATCTGGCTGTGCAACCTGCAAGCGACGCCATAGAAAATGCGATGAGACGAAACCAAGTTGCCTGCAGTGTCAGGCCCAAAACATAGTCTGTGAGGGTTATGACCTTGTGCTTCGCTGGGATGCGGGAATACCTTCACAGCGCCGTTCGGCTGGGACTCTTATTCCTGTACCATTACCCGACCGCAGCAAGAAAAGGCGAAGGATGGACGAGGGCGAATCGCAGCTTCAAGACTCTGAAATGTCTCCAGTGAGACAGAGATTGTTGTTAGATGCTGCTACACGGTCGAACTCACAATCTCTCTCGCCAGGCGATGGCCTATCAACAGGGTTGACCCGAGGAAACCTCGACGCTTCGCCAGCAAAGTCTTCGCCCCAGTCGCTTTCTACGGTTGATTCTCCTCAGACTCCGACAGAGCATCATCCCTGGCCAGGAAGAACCGAGCGGGAGAGGTTCCTGTTTAAGCAGTGTACGTTGATCGATACTGGACTGTGCTTTTTGTCTTGCGAATACTGATGAACTCTACAGTTTGCGAAACAACAATGTTCTTTCTATATTCGACTGACCGTAATGACTGGTTCAAGTCGCATCTTTGTCACCTTGCATATGAATCAGAGGCTCTCTTGTCGGCCCTCATCGCCACGCATCTCTACACGTTAAACCCCCAAGATCCAGCGCCTGACTATGAAGAATATTACAACCGCAGTCTTCGCTTGTTTCGAGGGCAACTTGATTCGTATGATGGCACCCTTAACATGGGGATCATGTGTGCAGGGTTATTCATATGTACCTTGAATGTGAGTGAAAGCCCTGGTTTTCTTCAAACATGCGGGGACGGGTCCCATGAACAATAACTAACAGCAAAAAAACTAGTTATTTCAAGGAACCCCATGGTCAGCTCACTTAGACCTCATGACTAGAGTGTATGGTCTTACATCCGACCTCTTACACCTAAGAGATATGCCACAGGAATTGCAGTTCCCGATCGAAATTATGGGAGTCATGGATCTGCCAACCCTTGTCAGGGGCCGCAGAACTGTTACTCTCGGGATATGGTCTCGCTACCGAGCTTCACAAGATGGCTCATCAAATGGAAGGACAACTGGAGTCGAGATAGTGACTGGTCTACCTCGCAGCCTCCTCGATATTTTTGCAGAAATCCAGACTGAAAAGGCTGACGACTTGTTGTTGGTGTGGCCTGGCGAAGTGGGAGATGTACCACATTGCCATCTCTGGGAAGCATATCGTCTTGCGGGAGTCTTGACGGGACGCAGATTAAGGAGATGCATGGCGAATGATGACGGCAGTAACACGACTAACACCACCCTAGCATCCCCCAGTACCGAGGTGCTCATGTGTCGGCTCATGGCCGCCATAGATGCTCTATGCGAAACCTGCAGACGATCACAGTTCTCCGAGTCACTCGCCACCAACTCGATACTCTACCCCTACACAGCCGCACGGCTCGAGGTCGCGGTACTTGGTCGTCGGCCTGAATGGGTCCAGGAACTCCGTCGGCTCGTCAGGCTCTGCGATCCGTACGCCATGACGGCAAACTTCTGCACCCTTGATGAGATGCTGGATGAGGCGCTGGATAAGGGTGACGACGACTACGATATCGACGAGCAGGCCAGACGCAGGAACACTGAAGTTGCGACCTTCTGACCCTTCTCAGAATAGACCATCTCTTGATATCTTGCCTAGCCCAAGTTGGCATCTTGACACGCCAATCAGAGTCAGATCGCCAATCTTAGAGTTAGTGGTCGACCCCTGGGCATTGCGCTAACTGGAACAGGCTGCTATAGCCGCCGGTGATGTTCTACGTTGGTGATGGCTTCACAATGGTGTTCCTTTACCCCAGACGCCCAGACCAAATCGTGGGGTAAGGGCTGTCTATCATTTACCGGCCGGTGGCGTCGGCTCTTGAGGATCACAAAGTATCGGGGTCGGTTAGAGACTCGGGCGGTTTTCATAAATAGAGACACGATGCCCCGACAATGATGGAGATGAAACGGCAACCTTTGACAGCTACAACGCCAGGCTTTCAGACCAGACTACGGAAACGAGAGAGATCATTTTTCACAGAAACGGACGCATACCAGGAACAAGATGGCAGCAACAGCCGCTCAAGTTCGACTTCCTCCGGGAAGCATACCCCTTGTTACAGGTAAGCCGACGACTTGACAAGTTGATTCAAGCCATTGAAGGCTTACTGACACCCTGAACAAGCATCTTCAACCTTGAAAGTTCCAACACCCTCTGCCGACCCAAATGATCCCCTAGTACGTTGCAATGGGCTATATTGTTGTTGAGCATGCACTCTGACACAGCTATTAGAACTGGAGCATGGCCCGAAAGGTCATCAACACGACCTTTGTCCTAGCTGTCACTGTGGCAGTTTTTGCTGCGCTGGTTACACCCTTCCTGTGGAGTGACGGCCCGTGGCTGATATTTCCTCCTCTAGGATAACGATGCAGACCATCTTCTGGCAGCAAATGACGGTAGACATGAATGTGTCGTTCGACCAGCTCAACTGGGGCGTGGCATTCAACTCTGCTGGCCTCGCCGTCGGGTGCCTCCTCTTCATACCGTTATCCAAGAAATACGGCCGTCGCCTTACCTACGTCGTCTCTACTGGTATCATGGCGGCTTGCGCGTGGTGGAGTTCGCAGATGTCGAGTCCGGTGGAGTTGTACTTGACCAACTTTATCTTTGGTCTGGCTGGATCGACGAATGAGGCCATCTCGGAGATGACTGTGAGTTTCTAAACAATGAGCCTTGTTGAAAAGCACTAATACAGAGAAGATTGCAGATCTATTCTTTATCAACCAGCGTGGCACAGTCAATGGCTTCTACGTCATCGCCGTCATGTTGGGCAACTTTATCGCGCCTACGATTGCGGGCGTACAAGCTTCTTCTCAAGGTTGGCGGTGGTCCTACAAGACCTGCGCCATTGTCCTCACAGTCCTGTTTGTCCTCTTTACCTTTTTCTATGAAGAAACCAAGTATATCCCTATATCCATTGGGAGCACTGAGAACGTCAGTGTCAACCAAGACAGCCTGGAGAGGCTCGACAAGAACTTGCAACCGGATGCCAAGACTGCTCAGCCTGCAGCCGACTTGGAATACAACTCCTCCCTAGCGACAGTTCCTCTTCCCAACTCGTATAGACAGCGCATGCGCTTCTTGACAAGGACCGAGGAACCGCTCTGGCGCAACTACACGACACCCTTCAAGATTGGCATGTTCCCCCACGTCCTTTACACGGGGATTCAGTGCGCAAACTGCATTCTGTTTCTCGTCCTGCTCTCAACCATTAACTCGATTGCCTTTTCGAGACCGCCGTACAGCTTCAACACGGCTGGAGTCGGTCTAATGCTGCTGGGGCCCTTTGTCGGTAACCTCATTGGAAGCATCTACGGCGGTTTGCTTGGTGATTGGCTCATTGTGCGGCTTGCTAGGCGGAATGGCGGCATCTTTGAGCCTGAGATGAGACTGTACATTCTTGGATTACCGGCGCTTTCGATGGGGGCTGGGCTTGTTGTCTATGGAGTTACCGTTGACCGTGTAAGACTCGCCTCTGAACAATGGTGTCCCACACATGACGATTTCTAACTGCAATGATAGGGTCTTCACTGGATTTACCCCAGCATCGGCGGCGCCCTCTTCGCCTTTGGGGTGGGATCTATAATGGATGTCAGCTGCACCATTGTCATTGACGCCTACCAAAGTGTGCGTCGAGAACCCTATGTGTACTTTAACGTGGTATCTAAGCTAACCTACTTGACAGGTCACGGCAGAGGCTTTCGTCTTCATCACATTTGTCCGCAACATAGCCTGCGTCGGCCTTCCGTTTGGGGTCGTCCCGTGGATGAACACCATGAGCCTCACAAAGATCTTTGTCATAAGTGGATGCATCAACACGGCCCTCGCTCTGCTGTTCATCCCGCTCATGGTTTGGGGGAGGCGTATTCGGGTTGCCATGGCGCCCAAGTACGAAGCTTTGCTGGCTCAGGTTGGCGGCGTGAACCGTGCCTGAAAAATGCCGTGGGAAGTCAAGACTTATTCTCCGAGTGAATTCTCCTGTCACTATCATAGATTGTATCGAATTACTGGTAGTCACACGTTCTGGTGGGCTAAGGAATCAACCAATGCCCAGAGCTTCACTGCATTGTTAAATCAACACATTATTGGCCTCTCCGTATATCCTCTCTTAGCCCCATACTTATCGGTAGTCTCGTATTTTACTTCGTAACCAAGAACCATGTCATGTCTCTGATCAGCAAAGCCTTTATCAAGGTGCCTCCTTAGATGCCCCTGTCCCGTGGTGAGGGGTGGATGATACCTTCCCCGCCGAATGCTCCCCCGGCCCGGACGCTAAACCGGGGTGGCGGGGAGCCCTATCCCGGAAGAGGCAGCTATAAGAGCCAATCAGCTTTCACGACCAGGTCTAATCGGGTGACCTTGGGAGGTGTACCTAGATATTCCCCAGCAGTATTGGTCTCGTTGCTCCCCCTCATCTTGTTTCCTATCACTATTTACTGATTCCCACGTACTATCTACTCATTTCGCTCCCTTTGGAAAATGTCGTGGGAACAGCTCGTGTCTAAGAAAAAGGAAACCCTACGGGACGCTATCCCCCAAGAATGGAGGCTCAACCCGGACGTTCTAGCGAGCCTCACGGGCAACAGTCGTCTCATGGCGCTAGACCCGGTCAGAAAGTCAGGAATCCTCAATGGCCTCGAGGTTGAAATCACCGAGAAATACTCTGCGGCCCAATTAGTGAGCAGTATGGCGCGGGGAGACCTCAAGGCTGTCGAGGTGGTGACGGCGTTTTGCAAGAGGGCGGCCATCGCTCAGCAGCTCGTGAGTGAAATACAATCAACTTTGGAGCGCGGCTGGTTTTGATACTGTTTAGCTTTCCTGTCTCACTGAGAGTTTCTTCCAAGAAGCTATTGAGTATGCTCAACGTCTGGACGAGTACTATGCAGCAAATGGCAAGCCCATTGGCCCTTTGCACGGTCTACCGATCAGTCTCAAGGTGAGCATACTGTGCCATACACTGGATCTAGTTACTGAATCTTGCCTCACAGGACACGTTCAAGGTTATCGGGCACGATGCCACCGCAGGTTTCGTAGCGGGCCTTAAACTCGGACCCGCCAAGGAGAACTCGTCCCTGGTGGACTTGTTGATCAGTGCAGGAGCAGTCTTGTACGTCAAGACAAATGTTCCACAGACTATGATGGTGGGCAGCCCGTGTACTTGATAGATCGAGTCATAGCTGACAAAGCCCCATATAGACAGCCGACTCGGAGAACAACATCTTTGGCCGTACCCTCAACCCTCACAACACGGAGTGGACGGCCGGTGGTTCCTCAGGCGGCGAGGGCGCTCTTATAGCCTTTCGCGGGTCTCTTCTTGGAGTTGGTACTGACATTGCCGGCTCGATCCGTATCCCGTCCATGTGCTGTGGGACATATGGTTTCAAGCCTACCAACAACCGAGTACCCTATGGGAAGCAATCAGAGGGAGTCTTTCTGAGCCTTCCGGGTCCTTACCCATCAGCAGGTCCGTTGGCGAACTCACTCGAGGATATTCAACTCTTCATGGATGCCGTCATCAATGGGCGTCCGGCAAAGTACGACAGCACGGCGTTGGACTTGGATTGGAGGACCCCGAAGCTACCTTCTAAGCTTTGCATTGGAGTTGTTCCCGAGGATCCAACTTACCCAGTTCACCCCCTTATCCGAAGAGCCATGGACTCTGCCATCGAAAGTCTGACCAGTGCTGGCCACAAAGTGATCCGCTTACCGCACGATCCAGCACATGGTGTCGAGAAGGGTCTCCTCATAGCATTCCAGTACTACGAGTTGGGTCACGAGCCAGGCGAAGACCTCGCGGCCATACTAGGAGAGCCCCTGGTCAAGTCTGTGGCGGCAAATGCACACCCCTTCACACACGTCTCGAGGCTTGTGCCTTTAGACACAGATCCCCTGCATAAGCTTGACAAGCTGGATAGACTGAGAAACGCCTACATCGCTGAATGGAAGCGGACGTGGTTCGACAACGGCTTGGATGCTCTCCTGGCACCCGGGGCGGACAAGACAGCTGTGCCACATGATACATATGGCATGATGCCATACACGTGTCTGTTTAATTTGTTAGATGTGAGTCATGTAGGCAATTCATTTGGCCGAAGAAAACTAATCAGTTCTCTCTTGCATAGTTTCCATCATGCCTCATCCCCACGGGAAAGGTTTCGAAACACCTGGACCCAGAGCCAGTCAAGATGACAGCGGGGTTCACCCCTGATTGTAAGTGAACTATGTCTGAAGAAATACGCCTCACAGTGTGACTGAATATATATGCAGACGACCCTGAAGCACAGGATGGTGCACCCTGTGGAATTCAAGTTGCCACCTTGTCACTGAGGGACGAGGAGTGTCTTGTAGCCGCGAGTATTATCGACAGGGATATCAAAGGGCTGCAGATTGCTTCTGCTCACGTGTGATGAGAGGTGGAGGGTGTCTAGAGAGGTAGATGCATATAGATAGCGTATTATCCAGGCTCGGTAATCAATACTCATAGGTACATACTTGCGCACTCACACTGAGTTCTTGACACTCGCTAAACGTTCAATGACTTCCCTAGCTTGCAGCTATTGAAGTTCTGTCACATACGACCATAGCTCGTAGAAACCGTCAAGCCCTTCTATATTGCTCTATGTCTTCTATTCCTCGAGATCCTTTCCTCCAATATCAGAACTTGCCAGCTCTAGAAATGGATGAAGCTATTTCCACAGGACATTCTCAAACAACTCTATGAGGCATCATCTGCGCATTTGCAAAGGCAAGTGCAGCGAGTGTGAGAAAACTGGTACTCCGTGCATCTAGAAATCATCAAATAGCTGCTGTGACGGCTGCGACACACTTGGATATGAGTGTGCTAGCTTCTCCCATGTCATGCTAAATGACTTTAAGGTCTACCACTTTCTATTTTTCTTCCTGCTGGTATGTTTTCCATCATGCCACCTATTCCAGCTCAATAGTGCCAGGAGGCTTTGAAGTCCTAGCAAGACTGTATTAGCACCAAGCTCGAGATTTATAGGGGTCATCAGTTTCTTACAAATCATAGACAACACGGGAGACACCATCGACCTGATTGCAAATGGCACGCGCAACGTCCTAGTTAAGTGATTAGTACGCGAAAGAAAGATACAAGGGTTGGGTGATTTACCCCGAGGAAGGTGTTATCAAAGTTGAAGACCTCGGCGCTCATGAAGTCCTTGGTGCGAACAGCGCGGAGGATCACGATGTAACCCCAAACACGCTGATCGCCGAAAACACCAACACTACGGCTAGTATCAAGACCAGCAAAGGCTTGGGACATCTAGGAGGGCATGTTTAGCTTGCATCCATCTTGGCCTCTGTGACGTGTCGTACCTGGTCGTAAAGGCCAGCCTCCCTGATCATGTTGATGAAGATGTGATCAGCCTTGCGGGCGATCTCGACTCGCTCTGGGGTGACGTCGCCAAGAATTCTGATGGCAATTCCCGGTCTGCATTCGACTTAGTTAGCAGACGCTTCAAGCTTCAAAGCTAGTAAGGAGAATAAGAAGCTGGAGGGTGATCAACATACCCGGGGAATGGGTGCCTGCCTACCAGCGACTCGTGGATGCCGAGTTGCCGACCAATCGCCCTCACTTCATCTTTCTGTGCATCTTATTAGCTCCATGATCGAGCGCAGTCGAGACAAGTACAAGACTTACGAATAGAAGTCTGAGCGGTTCGATAAGCTATGATAGAAGCCATGTCAGATTTGGCTGCGTCATGGGGGACAGAAGTGTACTTACACGCAAGCCTTGCTAAATGAGCCAACTTGGTCAGTGTGATCAAACTTGTCTAATCAGTGTTCGACTTACGCCCTTCATCATTCGCTCAGGCAAACCGCCGACGTTGTGATGAGCTATCTCTAGTTAGCTGGTGTTCGCTTCTTGCGCGACTACCAACTTACTCTTGATTGTCGCCGAAGGACCTCTCCACGAGAGCGACTCGATACTGAAATGCTATCAGCTTTGGCTCGACACTGCCAGCTCAAAAACGACTTACACATCAGGGTATAGTGTCCCTTGCAAGAACCACTCCACCCTTCCGGAATTCGGTGTGTTTTCTGCTTCTTTCTCGATCCTGATGGCCTCTTGCTCAAACACATCAATGACTTTGGTGTAGTTAGTATCACTATCACGAACCCATCCAAGATAACTTACATGTCGATCCAATGATCTTTCGCTTCTTTTCGGGATCGGTAACACCAGCAAGACGGCCCAAGAACAGCTCGCCAGCCTCGACAACATGGAGATTGATACCGAGGTGGTCCCTGAGGTTCTTCTTGACCTCCTCAAACTCGTTGAGACGCATGCAGCCGTTGTTGACACCGATCGCGTGGAAGCGGTCACCAATGGCTTCACGCATCAAAGTCGCTCCAACAGTGCTGTCGACACCGCCACTCACGCCACCAATGACGAGAGCCTTGGGACCAACAAGTTCACGGATGCGAGCGATCTCGAGCTCGACAAAGTTGCCCATTTTCCAGTTTGCTTGAGCTCCGCAGATGTCGACGCTAAAGTTCTTCAGGAGATCGGTTCCACGGGGGGTCTTGATCCAAATGTCAGAGGGAGTTCTAATGTAGGGCCTGGGGGGGGGGCAAACGTGTTCGAGCTCGGGATGAAACTGGACACCAAAGATGGGCTTCTCCTTGTGGGCGATGCCGGCAAACTCTGAGTTCTTGGTGGCAGCAATGACCACAAAGTCCTTGGGCAAGTTGATCAGCTTGTCAAAGTGAGACATGAAGACAGAGATTCCGTCTCCTAGCCCGGCGAAAAGACGGTCGGCATGACCGTTGACTTTGGTGATGTTGACGTCCGCGTGACCATACTCTAGGGAAGAGTCAGAAGTGATTTCACATGGTGTTTTAAACGTTACAAACCTCGTGTCTCTCCGCGAACAACATTCTTGGAGTCGATTCTCCAAGCGATCTCCTGGCAACCATAGCTAGGGTCAACAGTGTTAGTGTCATGCCGTTATCGATGCATGTCGGAGCAAGCCGTACCAAATACCACTGTCCATCCGTGTTAGTCTAAGTTCAGAGACCTGAAGGGAGTGTAGAAAGCACTCACAGAATGGGCACACCGAGCTCAAAGGCACCAGGATCAACATCTACACATATGAGTACATGAGCAGGACGTTTGGGAGACGGAAATCATACGGGGTGAACCCTCGTCATAGACAGAGGAAGGGCCTAGTAGCTCAGTCAGACCTCATCACAAACAATACATCAAGAGATTTCACACCTCCAGAGAAGATAATTCCTTTAGGCTTCCATGACAGCTCAGCGACCTTGGTGGTACACGGGAGTAGCTCAGCAAAAACACCGAGAGCGCGAAGTCGTCGCAGAATGAGATGACTAGTTTGTGAGCCAAAGTCGAGCACCAGGATGGTCTGGAAAAGACAGGGTCAGCTAGTCCATTCTTCTTGTGACTGTAAATTGACGGCCCCTGCACCATCTCTGTCTGGGGTGCTTCAAGGCTCGAATTCTAGATTTCTACAGGGTAGTAGCAGTACATACGTCAAAGTTCTTATGAGGCACTTCGTCCTCAAGAGTGGAAGCCATTTTGATCTTTCAGCGGCGTATCGAGAAGATTGGTGGGATTCACAAAAGTTGTCTTCGCGCAGAAAAAAAAAATTGCAACCGGCTTGCAAAGGCAGCTTGCAATCGTCTCGAGGTAGCTGTGGCTAAGTGTGGCTCAAGTGGCGTGGCTAATGAGAAGCTAGCTTCTGATTGGCTATGGGGCACTTGAAGATTCTTATCTGCACATGTGCGATATATCACGTGGTCTCAGTTGCACAACTGGTTGTGCATGGTCACCGTGGACATCAAGCTTGTCATGAGCAATGATCCAACTCGATGTCGGAGAACAGGATGGGGCGCTCTGAGGAAGTAATAGATAGCGCTTCGGAACGAACCCGGCATAGTTCTTCTAACCTCGAACATGGCATTCTTTATCCAGCAACCACAACTCCGTTAAACCCTCCACTCCAACCTATCATACCCAGTCATAACCATTCAATCAAATACATCCGTGGCGAATCGCTCATTGCGATGCTTCTCAAACCATTCCCGTGCCTTTTCTTCTGTTGAAGTACACTCCATGTGCTCCTCTGACCACTCCACCACGAGACGGACGCAGACAGCTTCCACTGCCTTGCCAACCTCTCGGCTTCCGCAGATATAAACCTTGGCGCCCTGATCCCACAACTTGAACACATCGGCGCGGTCGTGATACAGCCTGTCCTGCACGTACTTGCATCCCTCTGACTTGTCCGTCGCTCGGGAATAGGCCCGTCGTACCGAAACCGCCCCCATCTTCTCCCAGCGATCGAATTCATCAGCATAGATATCGTCGATATCGGGGTTACGGCAACCAAAGAAGAGCATGGCCGGTGCGAGGTTTCGTCCAGCAGCAAGCATAGCAGCCCGCTCCTGCACAAAACCACGGAACGGTGCGAGGCCAGTACCAGCCGCAATGCAGATGAGCGGCGTGTTTTCGGCATCACTTGGGAGATGGAAAGCTGCAACTGAAGGACGAACCGAGACGTGAAGCTTCTCTCCAGCAGAAAGTGACGACAAGAAGTGTGTCGCAACACCGACATGGCGACCCTGGCCAGAAAGCGATGGTTCGTCGAGCAGAGAATACGTAAGTGTGAGCTTGGAAGAGTTTGCAAGCGGAGAAGACGAGATAGAGCTGGATGAGTTAGTCAAGTCCTTCAAGAGGAGAGAGAATGTTGACTTACTATTGACGGACCCTCATGGGAGGCAACATGCCAAGATATGAGCTGATAGGGAGGGCGACGGCCGGGTACTTCTCGAGGAGATCAAGGACCGACACCTTCTTGGCCGAAATTTCCTCAGCGTATGCATCCCCGGTAAGCTTTTCGAGCTCCTCAATAACGGCCTTGTCTTCGGTGGCTTCTACCAAGGCAAGGATGTTCTATTCATCATGTCAGCAAATATCCATGGCCAGGCTTGGACATCCCTTACCCTCTTGGTTGCCGGCTGTGATAACTCCACATAGGCACTGAAGACGTCGTACGCAGAGATTTCTGTATCCGTTGGGAGAGTGGTTGGTCCCTCTGAGTGAATTTTGAGGAAGACATCCCAAGCGAGCTTGAATCGGCGAAAGACGCGTCCGACAGTGGTTTTGGGGTTCAGGGGTAAGATAGCTAGATAATCACCGGCCTTGTATGTCATACCCGTGGGGAGCTGGATCTCAATGTTCTTCTTGGGAGGCCCCGACGCGGTAAGTGTTTTCTCCGAAACCACCAAGGCTTCTTCGACGTCTTGTCGAAGTCTCGTTTTTCTCGGAGTTGACAGTTCCACTAGCAAGCCTCGCTGTGAGCCAGCTTGACTATCACCACCATCACCGCCATACTTCTCCTTCAAGGCAGGCCAGAGGGTTTCGTCTTCCCATGCCTCAAAGTCACTGAACATGTCGCTAACTGCGGCATCAGCACTGCCCATAGGGACAAGGCGAGTTCCACCCCTCTTCTCCAGAGTTGCATCCACGAGCTTGGGGATTCGGTGGAACGTTTCAACCCAGTCATGGTGGCCGCATGCGAAAACGGCGTAGGAAACCTTTTCCATCTCCTGTCCATTCAGCCGTTCCATCCAGTTGATGAAATGGGCAGCGTTGGAAGGGGGCTGGCCCTCATATGACGCAGTAACAATGACAACTGGATGATCTTCAGGGAGGTTCTGTTTGGCCTCGTCTAGAGGGCCAATGTTCTTAGCAGCGAAGCCGTGGCCTGGCGCATCCGAGGCCAATCGTTGAGCAAGGGCTTCGCAAGTGCCACTGTTGGAGCCATAGTAGATTGAGATGGGCTTTCCGCCGGCCCCCTTTGTACCAGCAGCTGCAGAAGACTTGGTACCCGAAGTTGCATGGCTATCGGCGCCTCGGCCAGCCAAGACACGCTCGAGTTCAGTCGGAGTCATGCCGTACCGAAGAGTTGCTCGCATGTTGAAGTGCTTTGGCTTGATTGTCAACGTCTCCTGTATCTGGAGCTGGTAGTTGGAATCATCCATGGTAAAGTTGAAGTTTTGCAAGAGCATTGCCAAGGCAAGAAGGGCCTCCTGCCAGGCGAAGGGTCTTCCAATACAGGCGCGTTTGCCATTTCCGAAAGGCTTCCAGCAATTGGAATGCTCCTTTTGGAGCCTCTCGAAATTCTCGTCCAGCATTCTCTCAGGGCGGAATGCCTCGGCATCTTCACCGTAGACAACAGGGTCGAGATGGGCTTTAGATAGCATGCAAGACACGATTTCCCCCTTCTTAACAAGGTACTTGCCTCCCAGGAAGGTATCTTCAATGGCCTCTACACCAAAGCCGGGGATTGGGGAATTGAGTCGTAAAGTTTCTCTTAGGATCTAAGAAACAATTAGCAGGACGCAAAGAAGACAGCTCCTTGAGGAACATACAGCAGAAAGGTACGGGAGCTTGGTGAGGTGCTCAACAGTGATGGGACCACGGCCAATGACTTGGTCGACTTCTTGCTGTGCTTTCTCATAGGCCTCTGGGTGCTTGAGTAAGTTATAAAAAGAGAATGCCAGTGTGCCTGAGGTTGTCTCGTGGCCAGCAATCAGGAATGTGACGAGCTGATTGCCAATGTTGTCATCTGAGAGCTTCTCGCCAGTCTGAGGGTCAACCCCCTCAAGCATGGCAGTGAGCAGGTCCTTTCGATCGTTAGGCCTCTCCTTCCGGTTGGCCACAACTTCAGCGGCCAGGTCCTTCATGACCTTGATGTCGGCAAGGAACTTTTCATTTGCTGCACGGTAGAGAAAGTTGGGGGCAAAGGTCGGGCGTCTGTTTCTCACACCGGACTCGGTAAGGAAGTCTCCCATAGCCTGAATGAATGGGTGCAGCTCCTCGCGGTAATATGAATTGAAGCGAAAGCCCATGGAGCAAAGGGCAAGAGTGTCAAGGGCGAGACGGGTAAAATCATCCGAGGCGTTGATGGGAGTTTGAGGACCGTGGCGAGCAAACTTCATGCACATCTGGGTAGCTATATCATGCATCTCGTCAAACATGCTGCGGATGGAGAGAGGTCCAAAGGCGGGGAGCAGAATTCGATGCGCCTTGCCCCAGTTTGGCTCATCATTGTAAGCCGTAAAGAGGCCATCATGAACACCTTCTCGAACAGTCTATTTGCATCGTGTTAATGGGAGTTATGGTGTCAAGATTAAGTCTACTCACACCCAGGACAGACTTGAGCGTCTTCTGGAATCTCTTTTCGTCACAGAGCTCGTTCACAAAGGCATTGTTTGCTGCAAAGATGGGAGACTTGCCAGGTAGGCGTAGTCTGAAGATGGGGCCTTGAGGGGTGAGTTTTTAGTTATTGAACCAATTCCCTGGGAGTAATTATAAGCATACCATAGGTATCGGCCAGGCGTTTCAAGTCAGCCAACGGGCTGGTGGTGAACTCGCCCAAGTTTCCAATGAGGGGATACCCAGGGGGTTCCGGAATAGGAACAGACTCGGCCATGGTGACGATTTGAGGTGAAGAGCGATGAAGATGGGGTGACGACGAGGTTTTTGGCGGTGATCACATGAAACACCGCGAAAGTGCGGAGAGAAGGTGCTTCGTCGGCGTCCTTTCCCACTTATTCAAGGTTCGCCGCGTGTAGCTGAAGATGTGAACGAATCTAGAAAGAGTACCCTGAGTCCTGTCGAAAGGAAAGAATACCACGAGAAATAACCGTTTAAATAGAGGATGGATGAGAGAATCAATAAGAGAGAAGACAATTGATATTACCAGGCTAATTGACCTTTATCTGACCTGCGTAAGGATCAACATAACCGAGCTCCTTGACGGATCCTCCTTTATACTTTCCGCCTACTTCACTTTGCGTCATACAAAGGACGGATTTGGACCACCAAGAAGCCAAGGCGACGCAATGCGCCGCCATCTTTCGTCTCGCGAATCCCGACCGGACACGGAGGTTATTGTATCAGGAACTACCGTAGCCGCAGCAGTTACTGCCTGCCTGCCTGCCTGCATCACCGCCGTTACATCCGTCTTGCAGCAGAGCCACAGACGGCAAGTCCCCCTGGCCAATGATCGACGTCGCGTTCAAGATTGTTCGCTGTCTCGCTGTTCGCAATGCCTCGGCATGTCCCATTTTTCGCGCGGGCGGGGAGGCGGGACACATGGGTCCCCCGACCAACGGCGCCACAGTCCGGGGCCGGAGCCGAGGCGTGCATCCTCTTCATGTGTGGCGGTGTCAAGAATCTATCCGAGCGGGCAATTACAGCCAATCATGTATTTGCAATAAGTGCCGATCTCTCTTCTTACAGACATTCTTCCACTCTTCCACAATTATTCCCCATCGGCTTTCGTCTCTTCTGTGCTCCGACCGCCGCCGCCGGAGTTTGACATTTTGTCAAAAAAGTCCGTTCTTCAAACACTGACCAACCAAAGAATGAAATATTAAACTGGGTCCGTTTCCCCAATGTGTATCAACTCCAACTCCACCCCACGACAGTTTATGCACTCCCATCTTAGTAGTTGGGAGACTCATAGCTGGGAGGGTTGTAAGGGGAAGAAGGGGGGTTGTAGGGAGAGGGAGGGTTGTAAGGAGTAGGAGGCTGGTAGGGAGGAGAGCTTGGCTGGGTCGAAGTAGTCGTGGCCTTGGAGCTCTCAGCCGTAGTCGTGGTCTCGGCGGCAGTAGTTGTGGTTTCGACAGCAGTGGTAGTAGTCTCAGCAGCGGATGTGGTGCTAGTAGACAAGGTGGTAGTAACCTTGGCCTCGGTGGTGCTGGTAGAACCCTCAGCAGTCGTGCTGGTTGTGGCAACGGTAGAAACGCCAGAAGTGAGCGTGGCCGTGGTCGAAACCTCAGTCGAGCTGCTCTTGTTGGGAGGGTAGGGGTAGCAAGGGCTGGCCTGGACTCCAGACATGGCCAGGGCAGCCAGAGTGACGAAGAAAGTCTTTGAAGAAACCATTGTGAAAAGAGTGTAAGAGTCGAGCTTGGAAAGAGTGTAAGGAGTTGGATTTGCTCGTTGAAAGACAAACTCTAGAATTCTACAGCTGTCCCGGCCTACTCTTATACCCGTCGTCTCCTTTTGACAAGAGTCCGGTGCGCCTCTCCCGCTGTGCGGAAGCTGTCAAACAACGCCTCAGAAGGACTACCGACAGGACTAGCCCTGCGGTGGTGTGGAACCGAAATGGATCCCGCAAAGTGTCCGAGTCCTCAAGAACGATACGAAAGGGCAAGTCGTGAAGCGGCATACGGACTAGCCTCATCGAATCCGACAAGGCCCAAGATTAGACAGAAACAAGTGAGTGGGTTTCCGTCTAGACTAACTAGACGGCGCCGCGAATAAGGAGGCTCGTTCGGATATAGCATTCATCCCAACAAAGTCCCCGTCGTCAAAAAGGCCCAATCTTGTTATACGAAATCCCATGCATCCAACAGGGGAAATTGCATCTGAGACCCTCATCCACTGACTCGTGCCGTTGAGATCTAAACCATCCGAGGGATCCATCCCAACTGAGACCCGGGTCCACCAGCCCGCTTGAAACAAAACGCATTGATATCACAGACAAGGCTTCAACTTGCATGTGCTGTTGGGTGCAAGGGACGAGACGAAGCACGGCACTTGTTGCCGAATCAGCCTTGCGAATCGACAACTTCCTCATCTCCCGAGATGGAGTCGTGAAGGATGATGCTCCACAAGTTGCCGCTGTTGTTGGCCAGCTCTCGACTGGTAAGCATTCGATAACTGGAATACGATCACATTCGCAATTGTGACTATGGTTTATTTTTGTAAACAACTGTCTCTAGTCAAAGTCTTTTCTCTTTAATTTCCGGTGCTTCCTTGTTCCCTCTTCCCCATCTCAACTCACAACTCAGTTTCCGTATTCTCGCTTCCTGAAGCGCATTCACAGCCATTGTCAATGAAAAACAAGTGTCCACATAAAAGCAAACCTCTTTTCAACCTGGGAATCACCGGTTATCTCTTGCGGTCTCCTTCTTGCAAATCCCGTTCAATTTGATGGCTTAATTCGGAGTCTGCTTCTCACGCACAAGCCATCAGGGGGTTCCACCAGCGCCTGAACAGGTCCGTGTTAGTATAACCGGTTTGAGTTTGAAAGGCTTCATACAGAAGTTCGTATTTTCATGAATATCTCCAACGAGTGTCCCCTGGCTTCATACGACGTACCGAGGGGCGCTAACCTCACGTTTCAGGAAGCACAGCTCATGTTGCTTGATGCCACACTTAACCTTCTTCAGCTAAAAGGTGTGAATGGATAACCAGGGGTAACTCGTATAGATCTGTAGACGTCTACTGCTTACCCAGACGAAAGGTAAGGGCCAATATCCGACAGCATTTGTTCACCATCCTGGGTTTCACACTATACTCTGGCATATACTAATCATGGACATTCATGTCAAGAATCAGGACAATGGCAATCTTCGTTTCAATGTGGGTATCCCTAATCTTGACTCATTCATTCAACCCACCACCAATGCCGCTCACGGCTCACTTCCAAGCCTATCCGCTCCCTGTTCCTGTCCTGTCGACCCTCTAACATAATTCTCTATCCCATACATAAAACCAACAGGGGGTCTGTTCTCTTTCTTCAGGCCCCTCTCCAAAAGTCCCAAGCCTCGTGGCCGAGCCGTCTAGGAACGTGGCACTGAAGTGCCGAGTCTCAACGACTACCCTCATCGGGTGTTGTACTGCCCCGAATCCCCGTCAACCAGAGAATGCGAAAAATTAGTTCATCTGGAATCGCATCCAGAGCAATTCCTAAACGGAAGGGCGATTCATAGCCCTACTGTCGTCTTCCGTCGCGCGACGACCCATTACCGGAGCCGCTGCCGAACCGATCACGGAGCCAGCTTATGGGCCCGTGGCCTTGCCGCCGTTGATCCGAATCTTCCGTCCGCCGACTACTCTCTGAAGGACTTCTCTGCCTCATCCGTGCTCCATGCTCACCAGGAGCCGTCGCTCGGGGGCTCGTGGGAGAGTGCGAGCTACGCCTCTGCATACGAGAAGTATCGTAACTGAATCCGGATGATGTTCCCCGGTCACGATCTCGGTCACGATCACGCTCCCGCTCTCGTTGCATCGACGAGATGTTCCGTAAAGCCTCGTTGAGACGACTTTGACTCTGGCTTGGAGGGCGTGAGTATCGAACAGGCCTTGTCGGGGGACCACCAGCATTCTCAGCGGATCCTCCCCAGCCGGGTGAGCCTCCAGAAAACCAACCCGAACCTCCTCCAAATCCAGGGGAGGATCCAAATGGACTCGGCCGACCTGAGCTCTGTCCCGATGGCGGTCCCTGAGGTCGGTTACTGCTATTGTTGCCACTATTGTTGTTGTTGTTGCTTGCGTTATTGTTGTTGCCGCTGCGATTATTCTTTTCGATCGGAGTACGGCAAATCGGACAAGTGTTGTGCTCCTTCAACCATAGAACAACGCAATCCTCGTGGAACCAATGCTTACATGGCAGGAATGTAGCCATGTCACCCTCCTTCATCTCATCAATGCAGATGGTACATTCTGCCTTTCCCTCGGTTCCCAGCATTTCCTTATTCACTGGTTTCCGCTCCAAGTTCCTGAGAGCTTCTTCTGTGGCTGGCGGGGCGGCATTTGACTGAGGGTTTGCCTCCATCAGTCCGGTAATGATCCGATCCAGAGCCTCTTGAGAGTAGACAGCATCGCCAGCCATAGCATTTGCGGGGTTGAGTAGGCTTAGAATGTCGTGCAGGCTTCGAGCGAATCCAGGAGGTGGTCCTCCCCCAGGCCCCTCATCGCCTCCTTGGTTGACTTCACCCGGTGGCCCAATATCACGCATCATATTTGAGAAGAGCCTGGCACGTTGGTTAGCTCCTAATGCCATGGTGACAGCCATGACCCGTAGGCCGTTTGGTCCCTGGGGGCGACTTGGAGGGGGTTCTGCGTACGCTTGGAATGGGTCGGCGCCTGGCATGGGACCGCCTCGTGATCCGTGGATCGGTCCTGACACAATGGTCACAGATGTTGTGCCGCCCCCAAAGGGCCCAGAAGTAAATGTTGTCCGGTGTATGCGGGGTGCAAAGGGGTCATGATCACCAGGTCGTTCACCGGGACTTGAAGGAAATGAGCCACCGGGCCCACCAGGTCTTCGAGAGGGAGCAAACCCTTGAATCATGTCGAGGAAACGCTCGAAAACTGGATCGACTGCAGGGTTATGGTGGTGCTGGTCCGTACCATCCCGAACACTGCGCCGAAAGGCAAAGCCGTGCGGTCCGAGGTGTTCATCGATATTGCCCTCTTCCGGATCGGAGTCGTCATCGTGGTATCGATAGGGGCCAATTTCAGGCGATGTAGAGGCGGAAGAGCGGTGTTCAAGGTCGCGAGGATCGTTCTCGGGATCGATCTGGGCATTCAGTGAGCAGTCTGGACAGTGCAGCAAGGACGGGAAGCATACAATCTCGGTGATCTCCCCATGACATTCCGGACACGTCAAGCCGTGCTCGTCACGATACCACTCGTTGGAGCAGGCGTGGCAGAATACAACCTCGCGGCCTGCGGTTGCATCGAGATGGCCATGGTGGTCGCCTTGCGAAGACATCTGCGCTTGGCTGCGTTGGTACGCAGTCAAGGCACTCAAACCAAGGCCGACAGCAAGGCCGGCGAGGCGAAAAGCGCGAGAAGCCAGACTGAAAGATGAAGTTGCGAATCGAGTACCAAAATGGATGGAAGCTGGGCGTGGTGAGAGCAGTCGCAATAGGTCTTGCGTAAGTCGATGGTTGAGAAGCGTCGGGGATTAGTAACGCAGGTCGGAGAAAGGGTATCGGTTCATAAGGCGGGGAAAGTAGTATCGAGGAATTAAGAAGGTGATATAGGTGAGTAAGAAAGGGTATTAAAAGATGCGATTTCCAGTCCAGAGAGGGCTGCCAGAGCGTTGAGGTGTAGTCGACGTAAGGTTGGAAACGGTGATGTTAGAGCGGTGGCGAGGAGGCGACCCAAGCAGGTAAAGGTGCCAGTGAGTGATGTGCTGCCCCAAGACCCAGATGAGCTAAGACAGGCTAAAGCTAGGACATGGATTCCCGCAGACACAACAAGAGGTGCTGCAGGATGTGCAAGGTGTGTAGAGATGGAGGAAGATCCCAATACTTTTGTAGGAGGAGAGAGAGAAACGAAATGATAGGTGGTATCAAGCTTTTAGGTATTTGGTGATCAAGTTGTTTGGAAGACAATGGATGCCGGAGGAAGATCGGAGCCTCGTTTCGTTTTAGAGATGACGACGAGCCTGAGGTTTCCCCGCGCATGGACCTTCAAAGTAGAGCAAACGAAGTGAGGCCACGGTCAACAAGACAACAGCCCTGCAAATACTGCAGGTGTTTAGTTTGAGGTGAAGAGAGGGGGGAATTGCACATAAAACCTCGCTTCAGTAAGCAACCAACGAGGCAGCTTCTACGAATCCATGACGGCGGAGCAAACGGGTTCTAGATTGATGCCGTCGGGTGCCGTCTACCACACAGTTCGCCTACTGCCAGCTGGTGTACCGAGCTTGGGGGGCCGGTAGTACCTCAGTGGCAGCGGGACAAAGTGGGGGAGGACAGCTTAATCCTTGCCTCGACAAAGTACCCCTGGACCCTGAGACTTGTACCTGTCCTGGTTCGTCCAAGTGGTTCACTGTGGTTGCTCTGCACTGCCCCCCCACCATGATTTGTCTTGAAAGGAGCCTCACGGCCCAATGATTCACAGCCGACCTCTGCTAGTTTCTTCGGTGTCATGTGCAAGGCTCTGCATGAATGAGTGATTATCGGGCATATGCAGTGCCTAAGGCACTCTACCTGGGCGCGCAAGATGGGCTATGCCGGAACATGCACAAGGCTATGGCTTCCCGTTATCGCGAGGTGCATTAGATAGTCGGGCTGGATTTCAGTTTGGTGTAACAGTTGGGAGTTGGGCAATCAGAGTTACAACTTCCGAGGGTGTCTAGGATATCCAGATGACGCAGCAAGGACTCTACTCAGTATTCGCGTTCAAAGTTTAGACATCAGTACATTAATGGGTTGTTTGGTCATTGTCCATAGAATCAATTTGAATCCAATCTAGATGGCGCTATAACAAGCCAGAGTTGCCCTCCATCTTGTTCTGTTCCTCACTTGACTGATCAGTATCTAAATCCACTACGTCAGAAACAAGAGTATACTTCCTGCAGTGACCATCTCCCATAAGGCTGTCCAATAATCATTTCATATGTAAGGCTGTTTGTTGTTCAAGTGGCTTGGGGGCTTGTTCGTAGATTTCCTCAAGTTACAAATGGATGGTTGTGGATGTCATCCAACACTGGTAGGCTATGCCTGATAATACGCCGTACACCATAAAGACAATAGATCCTTAGTTCAAGATGAGCACAGAAAACACGTTCCGTGAAAGTGGCTAATTCTCCAATTCACAATCTTAGCATCACTACAGCCGCCAACTATGCCTTGAATCTGCCTTGCAAATCTATTTCCCTTACAAGCGGATGGTTGCTGAGATTCTCATGAGGGTTACATTGAAACACACTTTGTGAGTACTTGTGCAAGGAGCGCTGTTTGCATCTCGGCACTTGATTTCGAGGGAGGGCTGCAGAAGTGTAAGTAGTGAGGCATTGTACCATACTTCAAAGCCAACATCTGCAGAAATGGATATCAGCCCCAACTCTTGTAGTCAAGTCAGTAAAGGAGAAAGTGCATCTCAATCTCAATACTCGAGATGAACGTGAAGAGCTCAGGGCAAATTGTGTGCCAATGCCAAAGCAATCGTCGCGGAAATGAGACGGCTATACGCGCCACTATAAGCACATTTAGAGATGCTCTGATTTGCCCATCAACTCGGTGACAGAAAAGCGATTCTACGAGCAGTTGGCCTCAAAACGGAGTGATTCGTAGTCTAAGATGAGATCCAGCAAGGATATTGACTGTTCAATGGCATTTGTTCAGTTAGTCAAGCCCAGCCGGAGGCTCTACAAGCGAGATTGTCAGTCAGCCATGACTAACTGTCGTAATTCAGGGAAACATCACAGAAGAACCACAACACAAGAGCTTCTCTTTCAAAACATGAGGTTATTCATCTGCCGCGGGAATTTATACACAGTATCTTTATATCCGGCCTCTAAGAGCTCTTTTCCGCCTTCTCCGCATCCTCCTTGTCCCATTGAACCAGCTGCTTCGACCAGCTACACCCATCACGTCAGTATCCTTGAGAGTAAAAGCTCGTCGATCGAGCCGTGAAGGGGTTCGAAACATACCGTCGGCTGGCGTACCACTGTCCGGGCTCGGGCCTGTGCGCCCAGGTTTCTCGCTCGGCGCTGAACTTCCAGGTCACGGCGACGATGCCGGCCATGACGACGCCGGCAATTATAGTGTTGCCTCGCCAGTTGGAAGGCTGCGCGTACCAACCACCGGCCGGGGACCAGACGTGCTTGGGGTAGCTGTTGGGAATGGGGTCAGAATCGCTCGATCTCGGTGTCGTCGTTCAGTCAACTTACGGGACTTTTCCGCCGCCGCCCTGGATTAATTGTCAGCGCCATATCACCGGTCTAGATGAGGAGTTTACATACCATCTTGAATCAATTGACAATGAACGTTGAGAAAAGGGTTAGAGAGCGCAATTGCGACGTTGGATTGGTTGTCGTGAGGTCCCGGTTCGACAGATGAGGTCCCGTCAAGGCTGGCCCGCGGCCCGCCCAGGCGAGACTCACCCGGGCCGGAAGTTATTCCGGAGCACCACACCCCCGGCTGAACCCACGCTCACACGACTCCAGTCGAGGCTTTGGTGCCCGCAGAAGTTTTTCGGAAGTTCGACGCCCACGCTCCCGGCCCTTCGACCGCTCTCCGCGACAAACCACAGATCCGACCAAACCTACAAACGCCGGGAATTGGGAATTCTGGGACAGAGGGAATTCTTCTGGCTCGATGAAGCGGGTACGGCTCGATCAATGGGGCGGCCAATTGCTGCGTGCCCGCTCCGGCGCCGCCATGGCGAGACCGGCGGCGAGGCAACCCTTCGTCCTCTCGGCCTTGACGACAACGACACCCACGACCACTACGACTAGACGTCAGGCCTCCTCGGTTGCCGCATCGCACGATATCATCGACGACATCCCCATTGACCCCCAGGCGCGCACATCCCTCCCCTCTCCTGCCCCTCAGCGCGCCGCAGAGTCCGCAAAGCTCGCGGCCCTCCATGCCCGGTTATCCCTCTCCAGCAAGATCCCCTTGGAGACTCTCGCCCGGGCCCTCGTCGTCCCCTCCGCCGACAAGAACCCCAGCTTCAACAACTCCAACCTCGCCTTCCTCGGAAGCACATTCATCAACTACCATGTCCTCGAGTATCTGGTGTGCAAGTGGCCTCGTCTGCCCATGTCCCTCCTCTACGAGGCCCTGCGGGCATACGCCGGCAAGGAGTCTCTCCACCAAATAGCCCGCCGCTGGGGTGTCGAGGCCGCCGCCGCACCTGGTGAAGAGGTCGACCCAGGCCTGCTGCAGTGGAAGCCGGAGGCGTCGGGTCTGCAGACTCGATGGGGCTACGTCCGCGCCAATTCTGATATCACGGATCGATATGTGGAACGTCGCGGCATTAGCAGCCGAGTGGTGCTCGACGATGAGTTCGGAGACATGGTGGCCATGCCCAAGACGGGCGAGGAGGGCTACAAATACTACCAGCACGAGGCATATGCCTCGTTTGTCCAGGCCGTTGTCGGCGCCATCTACACCCACTGCGGCCGTGATGCCACCCGCGACTTTGTCAAGTCCCACATCCTCTCCCGGGACGTTGACGTCTCCTCCATGTTCCAATTCCAGCTGCCCACACGTGAGCTCGCCATGCTCTGCGCACGAGAGGGCTTCGAGGCCCCCATCGCCCGCCTTGAAAGTGAGACAGGTCGTCTCTCACGAACCCCCGTCTTCGTCGTCGGTGTCTACAGTGGCCCTGAGAAGCTCGGTGAGGGCTCAGGCCCCAGCCTTGACATCGCCAGATGGAACGCCTCAATGAACGCCCTCAAGGCGTGGTACCTGTACAGCCCCAGCAACAAGGTGCGGGTACCGAGCGACATGCTCGAGGAGGGCGCCAAGCCCTGGAAGGCACCTCACATTGATATCGGAGAGATCATCTAAGCTTGAGAAGTGGAGTGCCCTCCGCGTTGGATATATACATACCTTACGTATTCATGACAGGGATGTCGGTGATGGATGCATGGCGTCCGCCTGTATGTGCGGATAATGAGATGACAACACAAACAAATTCTTGGCCCAAAAGCTCTTTGGGCCGTGTATAAAAATGCATGGGAGCACAAGGTCCCCAGAGGATCGGGATGGGAAATGTCAATGTAAGATACAATGTAGAACAATGACAAAACTCCTCGAGAAATGGCGAGTCAAAATCAAAGATTTACATTTACGCACTGCTGTGCTCTGTTCTGCTTCCGTCTCGGGTATATTACATATGTATCCATGTCCTCAACTGTCACTCTGTCATGGAATGTTGAATTCTCTACTCCCATCTCAACTGAAATGATCCCCCTGGCCTAGTCGGACTCCCTCACCTCTTCGCATGAGAGCTCTATACCTGTCCTGGCGCTGAGATTTCTCTGCTTCCTCGCGGAGCTTCTTCTTGCGCTGATAAACTGCTCGAACGGTGTCTCGGACCTGCTGCTTGCCCTCGTCGTAGTTTGCCCGTGCCAGCTTGACGACGCTGTCAATCTGGTCAGGGGTATAGATGAAGTTCCAGGTGCTCAGGAAGTCGGTAGACCCAGGGGAAATACCGGGCACCTTCTCGTTGGAGAGGAGGGGCATGTAGACGACGGTGATGCCTGCATCGGGCTCCATGAGCTTCCACGATGTCGGGCCCGAGATGGCCTTGGATGGAGGAGGCGGCTCGGAGCTGCGTTCCTGGTTGGACCCAACCCAGACAGTGCAGTATCCCAGGTCACCAGACTCTTGGTCTCCAGGCTCAAATTTGGTCTTTTCATTCTCAGCCATGACAGCCTTTCCTTCTTCATGGGCTTCCCTGCGGAGTTCCTTCTGCTCCTGCTTGGCTTCTTGAAGCTTGGCCTCTGCCTCATAGGCAGACTTGGCCTGAGCATCGTCGAGCTCCTTAGCAACTTGAGAGGTATTCACCCCTTCCTTTGGCCAGCCAATTCCCACAGGCCAACCCTTGATACCACGTTGGCGGGCATATCCATCTGCAACGGAGAGCCAGTTGTCCGTCTTGATGTCGGCTGAGGCATCGAATGCGATGACAACGTCAACGTCGCGGCCAGGTCGGAGCAGGGGGTAGATGGGCAGGTTGTTGGACATTCCAGCGTCCATGAGCTGGATGTACTCATTGTTGTAGATGCTGGTAGGAGTGGTCTTTTCAAGTTTGCCATGCATGCCGTAGGCAAAGTTGGGTATCCTCGCTGGGTCAATGGGGTGAACCTTGACCAAGTCGTCATCACGAGTAGTGATAAGTTCGTCAATGGTTCCAAATCCGGTCAAGCCCTGAAGCAAAGGCTTGATTTCTCGATAGTAGTGACTGAGCGTGGCGCAGAACGCACTACCAAAGACTCCCATCAAGAGAGACAATCGAATCTCGGGGAGGTGGAAGCCATGCTCGGGAGGGACATCCTTGCCCTCGTTGAACTTGCGACCAAGAGCCCAGGTGGGGATTCCGGCTCCGAATTCCTCACAGAAGAACTCATACGGAGTGATCTCGAACCATTGGAACCAGGCCTCCTTCTTGGCCTCTTCCTTGGCTATTTCAGATTCAATAGGGTTTTGCGACGTAGATGGCGGCAGGTCTGGTATCTCGTGACGCACAGCGGTGTAAATGGGCATAGGAAGCTGCCCATACTGAATGTACTGACGCTGGTTGGAGAGTTTGAGGTCGCGGTCGTTAACTCCGAGATCTCCCTTGGGCACCAGATATCTCGCAGCTAGCAAGACACCGTACACATCGACGAGACCAAAATCAGCCTTCGGGTCACCCTTGAGTTTCTCTACCATTCCGCTGAGAAGGGACTTGTTGGTTGGCATCGAGGCGAGAGATTGGAAAGCCACTGGAGGATAGGCAATGTGAGTTGATGCCCTGGCCTTGAGGTGTTCCAAAAGGTTGCTAACGCTTCCCTTGTTGAAAGAAGTAAGACTGATTGCCTGAAGCCAGCATGAACCACTCACACCAGAGGTGTAGGTCACACAGTCAAGCAAGCCATCTTCTTCAGTTGCCAGTATTGAGCCAGTTCCAGCAATGAGCGCTCTCAAACCTCCGCCGGAGCCGCACACGGCAATGGTTGGAACATCGTCGGGGTGAACCTCATCTTCCTCGAGTCCAAGGTATCTTGCCAAGCCTATCTGGGCGACTCGCTTTCGTCTCGCCAGATAGGCCTTTTCTTCGTCGCAAAGTTCGGATGAAACGCGAACCTCGGCAGAGTACCGGATCTCAGGATTGACCAAAGGATCATGTGCGTCTTGCCAAATCTCATCGGCGAGAGAGCCTGGTGACATGGACAATTCGCGCTGAAGCTTCCGAACATATCCAGGTATCATTCTAGACCACTCTGGGAGTAAGTAGTTGACAATCTTGTCGGAAAAGTTTGAAAACTCGACATCGTTTATGGTACAAAAGGCCTCGAAGCGACGGGCAAAGTTGGCCCAGGCAGGCTGATCTTCTTCTTGCTCGGAGGCGTCATCTGGCTTCTTCTGGGTGTCCTGTTGCTGGTGCTGCTCTTGGTGCTCCTGGTGTTGCCCGCCCTTCCCCTTCTTGCTTGAAAGCTGTGCAAAATCGTCAGAAGGGTAAAGCCACCAGATGAAAAGTCCGCCGGTGATTACTGCAACGGGCAACGTAGATCGTTGTTGGTCCTGCTTGGCATCGCGCTTGGATGAGGACGTGAAGAGGTGGCGGTGCTGTCGATGCGGGAGGATCGGCAAGCGGGAGATCCTCCTTCGAGGGGCACGAGTGTGAAGCCTCGAGGGGAGTCTAGTCAGACTCTTCAAGGAGGCTCTGTAATGTCTCATTGTTTCAGGGAGCAATTGGTGTTTCTGGCGGTTGGTTTTATCATAGTTTGACTGGGCGCATGCGTTTTGTGGCTGCCAGCCAAAACTCAGAGCATTGTCGCTAGACGAGACAGGTCGTAAATCAAGTTTAAAGAGAGATTGAATCTAGAAGAAGATCTCGAGTGTGACAGAGAGAGTTGAGATCGGGTGATAAGAGTTTGCAATGACCCGAGGTTGCGCAACTTGTTGAGAGCGGCTCAGGCAGCCAACTCAGCCGGATCCGTTGATGTCATTCAGAGTCGCGTCTAGCAAAAGTGGGAAGAGGGGCGAAGAGGGACGGAATTAGGAGGGGACCTCAGGTGGCAGCACAACTGCTGCATCCGGCAAGTACTGCCCTATCATTCCCTGGGTCACAGGCACGTCGGGCAGTTCCGCATCGTCCCACTGATGTTTGATCAAGATGGAAGTGTTGTCGACTCGTTTATGAGGAGATTCTAGCAGATGAAGAGATCCAATGGCATTCCATACCGTAGATCCTTTCCTCTAGCCATTTCCCATCCCATCAATTTCCATGTGCCATGGATCTCCAAGCCCATCCACTGCGACATGGGAAACTCGGGCAGTCCGCTCAAGGCCCTGGACTCTCACTGGACTTTAGTGGCCGAGCCCCCTGGAACATTGCTTCTCAAAAGTTGAGATCTAGCGCCAAGGCACCTGGAGCGGCAAGAAAGTGGGGTTTCACGGCGACGGTGGGGGGTGAAATGCGCGTGCGTGCCGTGCGGCAAGCGCCAGATGCGGCGGGCGGTGAAATCGCAAGAGCTAGTCGACCTTTGAATTTGATGCAGTTTTTTTCTCGAGCGCCGGCAGAATCTCTCGCGTTTTTTCCCATGTCCTCACCTCAATTCCAACTTGGGAAATTTTTAAGTCTGCAAACACAAAGACATTCTTTGTTTGCCCTTTTTGTAAGTTTTTAACCTATTGAGCAAAACTTCCACTTTAGGCACCCGTTTGTGGCTTACACCGCACACCGGTGACTCTTTTTCATCGTACCCCGCCACCTCTTTTCTGTCGCGACTCGTCTCACCTCGCCTCTGCCTCTAGATTTTTCTCCTCCATATCATCTTTTCGCAATCCTCGGGTCGTACAGATTCCAATTACGCGATCGCATATCTCTATTGATTTCCCATATTCGATCGCGCCGTCAACATGAGCGACGCTGAAGTCCCCAAGCCCGTCGAGGCTGTCCCCGAGGCTACTCCTGCCCAGCCTACTGAGGGGAAGCCTGTCGAGAAGACCGAGGAGAAGACTGAAGAGAAGCCCGAGGTGAAGGCTGAGGAAGCGTCCGAGAAGAAGCCTGAGGAGTCCAAGTCCACCAACATCCTCAAGACCACTGCCAAGATCGATCACGAGAACCACCGCAACAACCGCAAGTTTGACCCCAGCACCCGCGAGGTGACGGATGATCATGATGCCATCCGCAAGCAGGTAAAGACAGACACTGCGCTTTGAATTGCGCTCTTATTGACAACTCCCAGGTCGAATTCTACTTTGGCGACTGGAATTTCCCCCAGGACAAGTTTATGTGGGAGTCGTGCGGTGGAGCCGAGAACAAGCCCATGAAGCTCAAGACTATCCACTCCTTCAAGCGCATGCGCACTTTCCAGCCTTACAGCGCCGTCGTTGACGCCATCAAGGAGAGCAAGTTCCTCGAGCTCTCGGGCGAAGAGGGTGAGGAGGAGGTCAAGCGCAAGTACCCCTACAAGCCCATGAACACCTCCAAGGCCAAGGTCGAGGCCGCCACAGTCTACGTCAAGGGCTTCGGCGATGAGACTCCCAACACCCAGTTCGACCTTGAGACCTTCTTTGCCCAGTTCGGCGAGGTCAAGGGTCTCAAGCTCCGACGCACAAACGAGAACCTCTTCAAGGGCTCCGTCTTTGTCACCTTTGCCGACGAGGAGGAGGCCAACAAGTTCATCAAGCTCGAGCCCTCGCCCAAGTGGAAGGAGCATGACCTCAAGATCATGAGCAAGCGCGCTTACTGCGACGAGAAGAACGATCTCATCCGACAGGGAAAGATTGAGCCCAATGCTAGCAACCCCCGCAAGTTCTACGAAGGTCGCGAGTCCGGTAATAAGGGTGGACGAGGCCGTGGCCGTGGTGGAAACAACTTCCGGGATCGTGACCAGGACGACTGGAAGAAGCGACGTGAGAACGACCAGAAGAACGGCTTCCGGGACCGACGAGGTGGTGGCCGTGGCGGCCGTGGTCGTGGTCGTGGCCGGGGTGGTCGTGATGGTGACCGAGGCCGGGACGGTGGCCGTGGTCGGGATCAGCGCGAGGAGGTTAAGCACAATGGCAACGAGTAAGTCCCATGTTCCTAACATCACGACAAGATGCTAACATGCTCACAGCACCATGCCTCGCATCCAATCTACCGCCGACGATTCCAACACCAACGGCAAGCGAGCTCGGGAAGATGATGCTCCCGCCGGGGAGCCTGTCGCCAAGAAGGTTGACGTCAAGGCCGAAGCCGCTTAAATGGTGATGGTCGCGGGGAGAAGGATACAAACAACAAAACTGCGTGACAGTTTCCGATACCAACACACAACACAACACATTTAAAAAAGGGGATTCACACGGGATGAAACAAGGGAAGGGGACTGATCGATCCACTACAACTGTATTATGGGTTTCTTTTTCCGGAGCAACGAGGTGCTTGCTTTATTATGCGTGCCGTCATCTGATCAATGGCTCATAATTTCCTCATGACAATTGATTATGGCTACAACCGTGTGTGCACTTGAAATCGAGTGAGGCTATTCAGGTGACATATTCGTCATTCATTATTCATTTGGCTTTTTTCTATCCAAGATTCCATTCTACGCAAGTATCGCATTTCTATATCTCCTCTCGCTCAAACGGAGTAATCCAGCTTGCCACCGTTGAGAACACCCCAGAACTCCTCAATAAGCTCCTTCTGACCACTTGGGGCCCCTCTCACGGCGAGGTACACGCGCGACTCGAGCTCTACATCCCACTCACCCGGGTTTCCATGCACCATGCGACCGCCGGCCTCGTTCAGCAGACACCATCCGGCGCACACGTCCCAAGCCCAGCATCCACCTTCCCAGTACAGGTCCAGCTGTCCCGCTGCCACAGCGGCGAGGTTGAGCGCCGCAGAGCCCAGAGATCGCAGCGAGTGTACCATCGCTCCACCTGTCTCCTTGCTGCCGGCCAGTCGTCGGAAGGTCTCGACCTTGAGGTCAAAGTTGGGTCCGTCGCGGGTAGAACCCCATTCAACACCGACGAGCGAACTTCCCAGGCCCTCAATTGGTCTTGGGGTTCGCGCGAGAGGAAGACGCTGAGGCTCTGAGGAGCGACCCCGTGTGAGAAAAGCTCCTTGACCCTTGATGGCCGTGTAGAGGGTGTCTTGCCAGGGGTTGTAGATGACGCCAACGGCGGGTTGGCGGTCAACAGCGAGACCAAGGGAGATGCAGGCTGCGGGGAATGAGTGGACAAAGTTTGTGGTTCCATCGATCGGATCGACGACAAAAGTCGGTTCGGGACCGAGTCTCATGCCGGGCTTGTAGGTCTCTTCGCCCATGAAGGATATGGAGGGGAAGGCGGAGGAGAGACGAGCAGAGACCATCTTTTCGACACCCTTGTCGGCTTCGGTGACGATATCGACAGCTAGCAAGAGATCAGTTGTGAAGATGTACTAGAGGTTTGTGTATTTCATACAGTTGAGCTTGGTGTCCGTGTCGAGCTCAGCAGGGTTAGCAGCCAAGATCATGACGCCGGCCTCGTAAGCGACCGAGACCATCTCATCATGAACAGCTTTGAGATCGAGATCCGCCATTGTGTAGGTCAATTGAACAAAAATACCAAAAGGTGGTCAGTTGCTGACGAAGATGATGATGATGTCGCGGTGGAGGAGTGATTTATGGAGGGGCAACAAGTTTTGGTGGGGCAAAGCTCGGCGACGTAAGGAGGGGCCGAAAAGGTCCGGGGTGCCGGGCCGGAACAAGCTCCGTCCGGAGGTTCCGCAGCCGGGAGTACTATTAAACTGCCGCAAAGAGGGATTGTCACATTTAGCCATTGATAAGAACTGAACTGTCAGACAGGGAACAAGGAGCACGTTGACCCCTTGCTCTCCTACCATTGGACTGTTGACCAAGGAAATCTTCAAACCCCCCACAGAAAGTGGAATCCACAGATGGTCCTTTCATCATAAAACGCCGTTGATTTTGCAAAGTTACACTATAGTATTTCCCCCAATATCCATGACAGAAAAAAACAGTTCGCATCTCGGAAGGACACGGTGACAGGAAGAAGGAAGATAGTCATGATATATCAGAGTTCCGCCCAGCGATACCCAGACCGGCACACAGTCATGCTCGAACCGCAGGTTCCCCAGACCAGTAAAAACAAGAAAAAGTGACCTAACAACGTGAGTGAAAAAAGACAGGAGGAAATCGACAAGACTCATAATATCCCCATGTAGCTTTTTGCGTCTCCTCGTAATCCCACAGCAGGCGAGCATAGCTCCGTCGAGATGGCAGCTTCGCCTCACCCAGTCATCAACACCAGACGGGTTACACCTCCTCCCTAAACACAGACCTCCGCTCTGTCGGGCTGCTGTCTGCGCTACCGCTCCTGTTCTTAGGCTTCGCCGACGGAACACCCGTGTCGATCGGTCGCGGGCTGACTCCTCGCAGGCTCGAGCCAGCATCGTCGTCAAAGGGGTTTCGCCCACCAGGTCCGGACGCAGGGCTCCTGCTCGCTCTTCGGCCTCGGTCCTCCTCCTCGTCGAATCGTCCTCCCGAAAGCCCCGGCGTAGCCGCGAGGTTCATGTTGTAGCCTCCACCACTGCTTCCGCCGTACCCGGTATCCCGGTTCCGACCGCCAATATCCTCCTCGTAGTATCCGTACGCATCCGCTTCATGGCCGACGCGCGAATCCCAGGCCTCGTCGGGATCGAGGGGTCCGAACCCACGACGTCCGCGGGGCGCACCGCCGCCGATGTTCTGCTCGTAGGCGCCGGCGGCGGACCGGTTGTTGCGGTTCTTGAACTTGCGGACCTGGTCGTTGAACCAGCCGACGATGCCGCCGGGCGCAGGCCGCGGCGGCCCATACGGACTTTCCTCTTTATGCCATGGTAAGTATGACTTGAGGCTCGGGGGAGGAAGCTAGAGGATGAGGTCAGCATGATGAATTGGGTAAATGCTTTGCGAGGACCAGCAGCGATGTCGCGGCGAGGCGCGCATAGCTGGAGATACAATCGCCGGACAGAGAAGAATGGAGAAATCGAGTGGTTATCGCAGAAAAGAACAATCAAACATACCCCAAGTCTGCGGGCGCGCAGCTGTGTAAAGACGACCCATCCGACAGCAGCTGCAATAAGCAGCACAAAGATGGCAATTACGATGCCTCCAGCCGTCGACACCATCTTGTCCGACGAGCGGCGATAGCTTCAACCCGGCTCTGGAAGCTTTCGGGGGGTGAGTAGAAGCTGTTGATTTCCACCTCGTGTTCGGTCGCGTGATTGGGAAGCACAGTCGGTAATCGAAAGGCGCAGCTGAATCCTTGACGATTACCAGCGTCGTAAAAAGGGCGAGTTAACAAGGCGATGAGCTGTTCAAAGAAAGGGAGAAAAAAGGGCGCCTCGTCTTCCGCCAGGCTGCCGAATTTCTGTGTGTTTGTTATGTTGTTGGATGGGATGAGTGAGGGTGGCGGTGCTTACTCGGGAAAAGCTTCAACTCTGCTCGCATCAATTACGAAACTCTCGGACTTTGAATGGAGGGGAGGGGGGATACAAGCTTCAAGCCCGCTGACAGACAGACCTGATTACAGTGGGCTTGGCGCTGATGCTCAGCGCTGAATTTAGCATCAGTGGAGTCCCGCTAGCGCATGCTCCAGGTCCCCGGCTCCGCTGGGACGAGGTCAGAGATCTGGGCTTGCAGGGAGGGATGCGGATGCACGGACTCGTCAGCTTCATCTCTGATGGTAAGCATATCTAGTTATCTTTCATGGTTACATTCACCTGTTGGATGCGATAGCTTCATTTATCAAGTGAGCAAAGCAATCGTTCATGTCTGTACCAATTCTCAAATGCATGCCATCAAAATCATTCCGCCAGCATTCCTTCAAAGCAATCCCGTATTCCTCTATTACTCCCTTGCATCCGTCTGGTTTCTATTTCGGTCCATCTCGGACACCACCAGCCTCGCCAATTCAATTCAATTCAATTCAATTCGTGCAAATAATTGATATCCATCTAATCCCTGTCTTTCTAACCTTTATCCACCGCATCGATCCCAGTTTCCTCCCGAGGCGGCAAACGAGAGGCTCTCCACAAAGTCTTCTAGTCTGCAGAGCCCGTACTCGTCGCCTCCGCAGGTCTCTAGCGACATCACTCGGTCGTTGACAAGCACTCGTACGTACTCGTCCCTCTTTTCATTCCTGCTGGCGCCGCACTCGAGCTTCTCGACGTACATTCTGGCTCCAAAGGGGACTACCCATGTCGATGAGTAGCCATGTGCCTTGATCGCGGGCACAATGTGGTCCTTTGGCAGCAGGGCAGTTGAGTTGTACAACCCCAGTGCCGAGAAGATGGAGACCATGCTGTTGTCGTGGCTAAAATCTGCGTATAGGGCCCGGTCAAGAGGGAACGTCTTTGGTGATGAGTCCAATGTGCTGTTGGTCGTGGTGTGGTCGTCAACAGGCTGTCCTGTCAAGCGTGAGATGAGTTCGTTGACATATCCAACACCTTGTGTCGGCCCCATGGCATCGCCATTGCCAAACTTGTAGAACTTGCTCAGAGTCATGTAGTAGTCGTAACTTCGCCAGTCTGCCTTGGTGAAGAGGTCGCAGAACCTCGAGTGACCAGCACCGTCGGGAGTGTTGGCCGCGTGGAACGGACACATGTCCATCATGTAGATGGTTTCCTCCAGCGTCAGGTTGACTCCTGGTAGATGGTGATTCAACCTGTTTCGAATCTCGGGGAGGAATCTCGCTCCCCATGCAACTTCGGCCTTTTCGTCTGCGTCTTTAGGAACTCTATCGCTTTCGAATGAAGCACACGATCCATGCGACATGGTGTTGTTGATGCCAGGTTCTTCAGGGATGATAAGAACATCCTGAGTATAATCACCTCCAGACTCTCCTCGCGATGCGTAAAATCCCTGTGTAAAGTTGTAAGACGACATGATGACCCGATCCGAGCCTGATGCCCGGACAAAAGGCTCCGTCTTCTCAGCGAGACTCATGTACCGCTCATAAAAGGCCCTGCCAGAGTCGACCATCTGTTGCTGGCCAAACTCAGTCAGGTCTTCAGCACCCAGGCTGTAGGTGTATTCCTTGAGCCACTTGTAGTTCTTGCCATACATAGTGGCAGACTTTTGAATGCGGGCAATAGTCGCGTTGTATGCTGCAGACTTGCTGTCCGTCGGGTATCTGGCTCCATGACGGGACAAGACGAGGGCAAACGTCACATCACAGTCGTCTGGGGTTGAAACATCAAGCTCGGACGGGATTGAGAAGTATGCAGAGTACTGTCCCCAGAGCCGAGAGATGTCATTACAGCTCCCGTCATACTCACACCCAGCCGGTCGGGTTCTATCAGACGTGTCAGCTTGACTTGAACATGAGCATCAACTCATATAACTCACCCATTCTGGACCCAAAAGCCGAGAACTGTGATCAATGCGATGGTGCTGATGACCATGACGAGGTAGCTCCATCGTCTCGTCTCACGACGTCGGTGCTCATCATGCCAGCTCTCAAGCCGCTCAGCGTCCGAGCGGCTCTCAGTATCAACACCATCATCGTCGTCATCATGAAGCAGGCGTCCCCTCTCGGGGTCAGAATCAGACATGTCGTCGTTGTCCTCGTCCCGGTGATCCGCGATGGGAGGCGCGTCTTCCTCTTCGCCGGCGCGCCGCCCAAGATGCACCATCTCCAGTGATTCGGTAATCGTGACAGGGATATGCTAGCTCCCACTGGCGAGACCCATCAGCTCAGCAGCTCTGGCTGATTGTATTTCAGTAAAAGATGCTGTAGAGTCGCGCGCGTCAATGTGATTGTCAAGGGATGATTCCATCGAGTCAGGTTGCGGGGCTGGTGGTGAATGAGATGAACGAGCTGCTCGGCTATCCCTGAATGTTTGACGTTGAAGACATGGCCTTGAGGTGGACCACGTGGTTGGTTGACGAATGAGGCACTTTGTCAGCCACTTTAAGCACCCTGCACATCAGTTGAGTGTACAAGGACGTCTTGTGCCGTTGTTTTGATTTTATACTTAAAAAAAGTCAATTGAAGAATATGTCCGATATCTCTATGAAGGTTGATCAATCGAGGGGATTCAATTAGCTTGAACTTTGAGTGATGGACGCATTCATCGCTTGGCTTGTAAATACCCTGCACCACGCAATGTCTTGGTCACGCATGCATGATTCACTCATACATCTTCTCTTCACTCATTCAACTTCACTTCATGTGAGTCGACAAAATTTTGAAATAATAGATCGCACTAGGCGACTCATGTTTAAAAAGCTGCTCTAGGCAGTCTTAATCCCAACTAAAACTCCTGCCTCCTCTCATCAGAGCAGGTCTTCGCTTCATCCAGCGAAACATGACCAATTTTCGAGCAAACCTGCCGCCCAATTCATTACCATCCCATCCCATGAATCCGTTAAACCCAGCTCTAAGCCCAGAATCCGTTCCACAGAGTAAGTAGATCCAAAACCGTCGCCAGCGTAGTCTTGCTAGCCGCGACTTGATATGGTACAGGTGGTATCATCGTCGAATATGCACAAAAGAACATGACAAAGGAAAGAAGTAAACGGGGTATCAGGCAGTCAGTGAACACATCCAAGCATATCTCCTTCAAATGGCGACCCCGACGCTCGTCCGGTTGGGTCGGGCGTCGCCTCTGCCAAACGTGGCAAACCGTGAAATGAGTGGTTCGTCCTGCGAAACCGCAGGCGTGCTGCCCAGAGAGCAGGTCGTGGGAACAGTCCGGCCTTCTTCGTCAGACTCCCAGGTGCTGACCGTGTCGGCAGAGTCTGTGCTCCGTCGACGGCCTGAAGTCTCGCCCAGCGAGACTTGGTAGAAGCCCTCGTTGCCCTTGATGGGACGGGGTGCGTTGGTGACAGAGTCGAAGCTCAGGTTCCGGCTGTGCTGCGACCCGGGGAAGAGCCAGCTCGATACCCGGGAAAACGATTTTTTCTTCCTCAGGGGAGGTCTGAGGACAAGAGGTAGAGGGGGAGGTAGAGGAACATCAGCCCTCTTAGCACGAGGGGGAGTGCTCGTAGGAGTAGATGATGCGCCGGGAGTCCTCGCTCGGCGAGGAGGGTTGGCAGGGACTCTGTTAGGAGGAGTGGTAGGGGGAGTTCTGATGGGGGCTGTATGAGGGCGGGGAATATCAGAAGTGAGTCTCTCAGCAAAAGACGGAGCAGCTGGAGGCAGAGCAGGAATCGAGGGCATAGGCTCCAGTTCTACGCCAGTCAGCGAAAGACGGTCGGAAGAAAGCCAAAACGCAGGATTCATACCAGGCATCGTACGGGCCGTGGAGTGAGGCGTTGACGGCCGGCTGGGCGTGTAGAGGCTCTGCCTCTCGATAACGTCGTCGATCTGCTTTTGGAGCTTCTCAACCTCGAGCATGGCACTCGCCACCCGTTCCTTAATCTTTTCCACGTTTGGCGATCCACCTGGCGATGAGTCTGGCGAAGTGAATGCGCGAGGACGGCTTCGGGCCCTAGGAGGGATCAAGGGTGGGATCTCATCGTCCTGAGAGGTAGAGGGCGAACTCTCTAGAGCCTGCCTACGGGGGAAGTGGAAAGACATGGGTGAGTCGGAGAAGCTCTTTTGGTGCTCAACCGGGCGATTCCCTCCATCTGACTGCCATTCTGACCGATCCGACATGCATCCAGAAGACACTTCCGAAGGAAACGTAGGAACAAAGGGAGGCGCATCAAAGTGAGGTAGAATAGGCGAGACCCGGTTCTCTGGCTCATAGAGGCTCAACTCCAGAGGTCGATATGGGCGGTGCGGAAGCTGCTTTGCAGGCCTCAAGTTGGAGGCCCTTGATGGCGTAGGCTCAGGGACGTCCGGGATCTTGGGAGAGGCTGAATAAATATGTCGAAAGTCTTGAGGTGCTGAAATGGGCGGCCGGCGCGAGGTTGTTGAAGTACCAGAAGTACCTGAAGATAGAGACCAGAATCTTTTCCTCCTGGGAGCAACAGATTCTCTGGGGTACTTTTCCAGCACATTGCGATGAGATGAACCCATGGGAACGGCCACAGGGCGTGGGTGGTAGAGTGGTTGGTCGTAGATGACTGGGTGTGAATGCTTCTCATCGACTTGGCCCATCAGCAACTGTTCGTCGCTCAAGGTGACGCCGGGCATGTTCATCAAAGTAGAAGAAGAATCTGAAGCCCAAGCAACGGCGGTATTGGAAGTGCAAGTAGACGGAAACTTACTACGACGCGGCCTCTTGTCGGAGCAAGTGGCCAGCGGTGCGCAGCAGAGGGGCAAGGACGAGAGCCACGAGGAAGACGACCATGCGGCTTCTTCAGCGCCGCCGTGACTAGTTCCGGCTACTGTCATGCTGCTTTGCTGCGAGGCTCTCACGTCATACCGAGGATGGCGAGAGGGAGGCGAGGGCTGGTTATAGGGCAGCTGAGGGAAGCGAGCGAGTGGGTGAAGCGGCTGTGCGCTATTCGACGAGGCAGTGAGAGGGGATGAGGAAGAAAGATGCTTAATACATATATATTGCACTGATATGCATGTGCGGTACTTCGTATCGGTGCACGCAGCGAATGTGCAGAAGTGGAGGGGGTGAATTGAATAGAGTAGAAACCTGGCAGAGGAGGCGAAGGAGAAGGAGAGGAATGGGATAGGACAGAAGCACGACGGGAAAGCTGCATAAGAGGACAAGGGACCCGGCAGATGAAGAGGGAAAAGCAACGGACCAGCCACGAGAGGAAGAAGAGGAGGAGGGACGGCCGGTCCGCGACGAGAACGAGATCTCTCTCTCTCTCTCCAGGTCCACACACACCCACACACCCCAATCCTCTGGAAGGCAATGCATCCATCTCGAAGCAGAGGGAGGATTAGGATTAGATGGTCCCGGCCATGACGGACGTCAAGGAGGGCCGCCAGGGCAGATCGAGTGGACGAGGTTGAGCGACGGCGAACCACACGGCGCAGGTGACGGACCGGGGTCGGCTGTCACGCCGGGCCAGTCGGCGCTTAGAAGACGTCCCTCTTGGACATCGGCGACGATGCTAGCGCCGCCCACCGTGGCAAGGCAGTAGAGGATCTCAGCTGTGACTGGATCAGAGTTGAAAGGGAAGAGAGAAAAAAAAAGACAGAGGGACCCGATAGTTGATGTCGTGCATTCTAGTCGAGGGGGTCTCGTGCTGGGTCGGCATTGGACGCCTCCGAGAGATGACGGGGTTTGAGGCCCCTTGTTTGTTTTTTTCTGGATGTTGTCGAGGCTGTGTGTCGTCACGCTGCGTATTTTCTGCTGTTGAACTGGTGTGAACCCGCATCTTGGCGAGAGAGGTTTAGATCTCGTTAGTAGGCTATCAATCGTCGAGAAAAGAGGCCGGTTTGGAGTAACATGACACAAGTATTCCTGTGTAACAATACGTCTGTAGCCGTCCAGAAGCAAGAGAAAGAAAGACGCCGTCGGTATTACCCATGTTTCAAACTTGGCCTCGTTCTTTTCATTGTTAATTCTCAATCCTCCTTCTCATTCAATCAATCGATATCTGACGTCTCATCATCTCACACACCAACTTTTTTTTTTTCACTCTCTCCCCCTCCCCGTCGGTTTAGACAAGACCCCTGTATCCCCGGGCTGATTGGCAGATGCACCCCGGGACATGGTCACTTCTTCATCTCTCCGTCTGTCAAATCGGTTTCCTGCACGTTTAGTTTCTCACTGTAGGCTTAGTCGCGACAGACAGACGGGTAGACGCGTGTTCGGGGTTGGTTGTCTGAGCTGTTTTGAAACGTCTACAACGGCCTGGGCCAGTCGAGAGTGCTTGTTTGGGCAAGTTGGGCTCCAGGAAGAGTTCCCAAAGCGGTCGTCTTGCAGTTTCATGCCTCCCGTAATAAGAATAGAGCGAACGAGCAGATGAGATGGCCTCTGGTGTCGTGGCCGTGTGTTCTTGGGCGTGAGCTGACACACGATGGGACAGACGCGACGCGATTCGATTCGCCGCGTCAACGACACGAGATTGACTCACGAAAGCATCATCATCACGCTCTGCACTTCGTGTTGTTTGTCTTGAGGCGCTGACGGAGAAATCAGCCTAGGCCTTCCGACAACACCATCTCACTCTGTAAGCGGCCATTGATGGTTGCCTCAGCGCTCAACGAGTTATATCCCAGGCTTCAGGTTGACATTGACATGCTTTGTTCTTCGTGGAATGTTCCCTTTGTGGCTGCATCAAGGCTGAATGCGAGAATGGGCCAATTCCGCTCCCTCGGGACCCTCTAGAAAATCAGAGTTGAGCCTGATCGACGGACGGACCGTTCCCTGCTGTTCTTGCTCTGCTCCTGCGAACATGGTGCGTTCCATCGTCGGCTGTCGAATGCTGCTTGGTTGCCTTTTCGTAATGGTGGTGCCCCTGACTTTGCCCCCCTCCCCCTCCATTCTAAGAATAGTAGCGGCCAGCTTCAGCCCATCATGATGCGCTTCTCTAGCAGGGATGCCTTTAGAAGCCTGCCGGACCCTTCTGGAGGCCTTTTTTTCATTCTCTTTTTCTTCACATGCTGTTTTGCCTTGATATTTTTCAACAACAAAGCCAAGATCCAGTCCAAGTCATTCTGTGGCAACCCCGCGATCCCTAGTCATTCATTCTCGCCGGATCCATGGGGATTCTTTTTTCTTCTAGTCATGCCATCCACCGAGGGGGCGCACTTCTCAGCTTTGGAGGGCATCTTGTCTCATTCCTTGACCTCTGTATGGCTGCGGGATGCAACGAGAACCTGATTTCGGTGGATGCAGCGGCAGCGGCGGATGTGGCGCAAGGTGATGGATGCCATCACGGCGGCCTCTCATGACCTTTTTTTGGTGGAGTCGACTCCGCAGTCGGAGTTGACCTCGACTCACTCACTACCGAGATGATTTCTTGGTAGAGGCAGGTTAGAAAAGAAGGCATTTCGAGGTTTTATTCCAAGCTTTACTTGTAAGTGAATTACCATCTATATATGCATCTTTGTCCGTAGATACTCAAACGACAACTGCAACTATCCAACATCTCTACTCGCTTCCTCCACGGCACCGTCAGAACTCCCTGACCTCATCCAAAAGGCTACACCATGCTTGGCACTAGTCTCGCGCCAGACTTTGATCGTCTCTTCGCTTGGGTCTAGCATAGGCACTGCCCTGATCTCGAGGGATGGTTCATCATGCCGAGCCCGCTGTAGCTCATAGGACAATTCAGTATCCGCCCATTTGCTCCAATCGCTCTCTCCGCCGTCGAAGCCGATGTAGAAATGTTCGAGACTTGGCATCTGTCCTGCGGCCTTTCCGGCAGCCAAGCAGAGCTCGTCGAATAACTGCAAATCCGTTGGACCACGCACATGAAGAAGCCCGTCCTCGCCTAGGACCGAGTTGGATTCCCAGTCGGTTTCGGCCCACCTCTCTTCTCGATCGGGATCATGAAGAGCAACCCATTTCCCTGATGGCAGCACATCCGTCATTTTGACCATGAAGTGCCTCATACTGGACCAGTGAGGAAGTTTGTCATCACTGTTGGACGGCCACAGAATCTCCGAGTCCACGCAGCCGTCAAACAAGAAGTTGACGAAACCGGGCCCCAGACTAAGCCGACGAAGTGCCCTGCTAAGACGATCGACTTGGCCAGTAGGAACCATCCTAGGTGGTTCAACGGTGTCATCTCTTGGCATTTCCCTGGTGTGCCAGATGGAAAATCTTTCAACGACATTAGCAGCTTGTCGATGTTATCGGCAAACCCTGATGAGAGTGAGTTGCCAAGTTTAGTGTGATGCGGCGATAAGAAGGAATATACCGTCTGCCGAACCCGAAGCTCCGTGTCACGCTTCTCGGCATCACTAAGTTCCCATTGTACCTTTTCCAGGCGGCTCATCTTGCTTGAAACGATACATATGAATCGAGGCTTAAAGGCAATGCTATAGGCATAGAGTGAGAGCAGGAAACCGGATATCATTGGCAGCTCTTGATATACCTCTTAAGTAAGCTTGAGGTACGTGACAGATTTGGTCCTAACATTAATCAGACTCCTGTTAATGTGCATTACTGGAAAATTGTTTGGGCGAGGGGCTATATGCTATGGAGGCTATTGTGAATTGGCCTCGATGATATATTCTGGTAGAGGAATGGATAAATGAACTGTTGCCAATTGCTTTGCTGCAAGCGGTGTTGCTTCGAAGAGGCGAAAAAGAGACCGTATGATATTTCCAACACGCTCAGATAAAGAGTCAGTGTACTCAGATGTACTCAACTCCATATCAGTCAGTCCATCTGAATCCAGTATGCAGTCGACCTTGACGAAGCGGAGACGTGAAAGACGTGAGGGTATCATGACTTGGAGTGCCATCTCTGGTCTTGTTGGCGTTAGCAACAAATGACGAAATGTAGCAGCCTCGATAATATGCTGTCATTATTTGGATATAGAGGCATATTGTGCCAGTGAACTCTTCAAAGATTTGATCTCGGTATCCATTCAGAAGTCCGCGTCTGCCCTCGACGTAGCGAGCATCATGAGTTTTATCACCGAGGTGACCAACAATGACTGATATGATCTCTGAAGGAGACGTATTCATTTTGATGCAATTAACTGAGAATTAAGATGTCCAGAACTTGTGTCTGAAGGCATTGTGAAGTCTTGTTAATAGGAGTTGAGGGCATATATAAGTTGCCATGCAGGGATGACTTGATAGCTGATTCGTGTTATGGTACGTCACGAAACTCAATTTGGTTGAAACTTTAACCGACCTAGTCGAGAGTAATAAACACATTAGTATTATGAAGCGCATTCAATAGAAAAGCAGGTTACTATAATGATATCTTTCTTTGGCGGCGCCTATGGATGCCAAGGAAAGAAATCCACAAAAATTGATCAAGGTGAAGAGCCAAGTAAAATGATTGGCTCCCCGGATCATCAATACGCCGACGCCCCACTAGAACCGCCAAATCTGGCAGGCGGGACAGCGGTCGTGAACGGCAGAACTCCAAAATCTCAAGGAAATTCATGGACGAGACATCCAAGTTGCGACGAGCTGCAAGGTCCTCAAAATGGGAAAACGAGTCTCCAACACAGGAGACGGCGCCGCCGCCTTCAGGAAGCGCCAGAAGATCACCCACGAGACGCCCACCAGCGAGGAAGTGACGTCGAGCGATCAATTGCGCAAGCTCCTGGCCTTTGACCAGGATTTGCGCCGCGCCAGACATGGTAGGTTCTCGACGAGGGTTGATGAAGCTTTGCCTGGACTAACCTTGACTTTTTAGGCCTTCAATCTTTCAAGAACCTCCTCGACAAGTTGGTCGCCGAAGATGACGATCGAAGGGAAAACCTCGAAATCCTACACCAGTACCTCGACGCCGTGAAACCGAGGGACGCTTCTGAAGATGCTGTCTACCTCAATGATATCATGGAGATGTGGTCTTTTGCTGTACAAGTCAACAATGACGGCGTCATGTCCTCCGTCGCGGTTGTTCTGGCCTTGCTACTTCAGGTCCTCTCAGGTTCCCTGCAGCTGGTCAGCCACGGCTTGGGCATCTGCCAGACGCTCCTCCAAGAGCGACAACTCAAGTCGATTGCAAAGAACCTATCTGTGGAGAAGAGCAAGGGATTCATTCTCTCACCTACTCTTCGTCTGCTTCGAGAGGCTACTTGCTTGGATGGCGGCGCCTACGCGAAGCGTATCTTCCGAGCGCGCAACTCCACCTTTACCTCCCTGGGGAGAAATCTCGAGATCGGACACCTTGGAGACGCCCAGGAGGATGTACGCAAGGCATCCGTGAGGACCAACGCGGTCAAGTTCTTCTTGAGCCTCCTCAAGTTCTTGAGCTCCGATGGGAGAAAGGAACTTTTGACGCAAAAGGAGCTTCTGTCGCATTTAACATACATGATAAAGACCGACCCTCCTTATCTCGTCCGGGATATCCTGGACTCATTGAAATCTCATGTTTTGATGGATGACAAGATTCCCCGAGATATCAAGTTCAGAAGCTTCAACACCAAGACACTAATGCGGATCCTGGGCCTCTACACGTACGCCGACAGTGAAGATGTCGAGGAGCAGTCGACAGTGAGCTACAAGGCTCACCAGTTCCTCATCTACGCTTGCACCAACTCAAGTGCCGGTGTCTTGTACCCATCAACAGGCCTATATCCCAAGGAATCAGACGATGATATTGTACCAAGTGGACGAAAGGCCGGCGCTCATGGAGCACTCGTGACTGACAGATACAAGGATGATATCCCCGTGTATAACTTTGTCCTCGCCGAGTTTGCCCAGAAGCTCCGTCCTTGGTCAAGCCTCAAGCATAACGAACTTCTAGTAGCCATCTTTACCGCTGCTCCTGAACTCACCGCCAAGTACTTCCTCAGCAACCAATCCTTCACCTTTGAACCGAAGCTTTCCATGACATGGATCGGTTATGCCGCATTCCTTTTCAACACCATGCAGATCCCTCTCCCTCCTCGCTTTGGAGATCGCACTCGATCTTCCAAGGCTCCTCCTCCCACCTCCATCCTGCTCGGCAACATCATTCCTCTTCCCATTAATCAAAAGGTCCTCATCCGATGCCTCTCTCCCAAGTCTCACCTCACATCCTTCTTTGCAACCCGGATCCTCATCGCGGCACTCGAGAAACTTGCTGAAGCCCTGAAAATGCATGAGGATGCATCTAAATCCAAGGACACTGCCTGGAGTGAAGCTAGCCGTCGGCTGATTGATGCCTTCTGTCAACGGATCCCCGATATGAAGGAGGTGGTTCGGGCTTACAAGGGAATACCTGCGGACAACATCCTTCACAAGACCATGGCCAGTCGTTTGCTACGACTGTACTATGAGGTGATTCCGCAAGTCGCACTCGCTGCCAACTTTGATGTGTCACCTTTCTTCACCGAAGTTCTCAAGACACTTAATGAAGGAAGCGAGCAGACTGAGGATGTGTCTCTTGGTGTCATGGAACTCGAGAATCTGGTATCTATCGCCAGCTATTCCCCTGGCATGCGATGGTTCTCAAAAATCGACAAGCTCGTCGATGGAGCAGCTTCCTCGCCGTACACGGCTCTCCTGCGGCTGCTGTGTGACAAGAAGCGAGATCTTCCCTTTCACCAGCTCAAGAAGGTTCTTGGCGAGGTGGCTGTTGAAAATCAACTAGTCACAAAGGCAACCATGATGACACCTCTATACGAAGCGTTGCAGACAACATTGGCTGAGGTCAAGCCCAAGGACATGGAGAAGGTCTGGTCATTTGTTGACAACTGCATCAACCGATGTGCCTCCTCACCTATCAAGTATCTCGACTTGTTGGAGACATACTCTCAGGAAGGAAACTTATCTTCGTCCCACGGTGCCACTGCCTTGGTCAATGTGACCATGGTCGAGCAGCTGTCGTACGCCACAAGCTCTGCCGATAGCACCGAGCAGGCTTCTCTTGGCAAGTTTCTGTCGTCCTACTTTACCGCTTCATATCGGTTGAAACACGGCAAGCAGCTCACCAAGGCCTTGTACAAGCGGATATGCGATCAGTTTTCGTCAAGCAAGGTCAAGATGAAGAAGCTCAAGGACGACAAGTCTGCAAATGTGGATGCTGACGAGGAGATGCCTGACGCCGAGGCGGAGACTGGCAAAGATGAAAAGACTAAATCATCCGTGGACCTTTCAAGGCTTGAGGAGATGCTCCATGTGCCGTTCTCTGAAGATGAGGATGCCACTGCCCTGACCAAATGGGCTGGCAAGAACGCAGAGGACCTCGTTGAAGATGGCTGGGCAGCAAGCCTGATACGTCTCCTATCCTCTTCCCACATCAACATCCGCAAGGAAGCTCTCACAAACATCCTCAAGATGGCTGCCAAGCTCAAGGAATCCTCGTATGAGGAGAAGGACCAGATCTGGCTCCTCCTCTCTGAGCTCGCCGAATCCTCAAGAGAGCAGGTAGACAAGGGCCCCGTCCCATCGGCCTTTACAGCCTTTGCCACGCACGCCCTCGAGATTCTCAAGAACCCTCTTCATCCGCTATACCCCAAGGTCAATGGTTTTCTCACTCGAAGCCCCTTCTGGGCCCCGGACAAGCTACCCCTCGCCCACGATGTGCTCCACGGCGAACCGTCAGAGGACGACAAGTACTACACCGAGATCACTTGGCTGCTCATCTACCTGCTCGACAGCCTCCGCACGCCCTTTGATCTCAGCATCTTCCACCGCAAGCGCTGGTTCGAAAAGATTCTCGCCCTCGGCGCAAACCCGTATCTGCGTGTTAACCTGCGCACCCGTCTCCTGAGGACAATTTACCGGGCGTCATGCATCGAGGGCGGCAGCACCACGCTCGTCACCCGCTTCGGCATTCTAGGTTGGCTAGATGCGCAGCGAGCAGCCTCCGAGGGCGGCGAAGAGGTTGATGTGTTGACGGCCCTCACGAGGAGGATATGGGAAACGTGTGACCAGGAAAAGGTGAAAGCTTGGAGCAAGGGTGGAGTTGAAAAGTTGCTCAAGGGACATGTGTTGTAGAGCGGATGTTGTGTGTAGATATATAGGCATTGATATATATACCCGGCGTTTATACAAAAAGGCTCACGGAACTATAACACAGTACAGCGTGATCCAAGTGACAACATAGACTCTTTCCGAGGTAATCGTCTAGGTGTAATACTTCCAACTAGCATACTCATTCCTACCAAGAGACATGTCACTTTGAACAGGCACGCGAGTCCAGAAATCAACGAGACACCAGAACATCGGCACTGACGAGGTACCTGGCTCCTATCAAGTATAAGATTCAATTAGAGATACGTTGTGATAAAGGTAAAGGAAGGTTTAGAGCTTCTGTACCTATTCTTAGTAGACTCTAGTTATTATCTTTCGGGGAGGATGGTCTAAAGGGCGTATACTGGCCTCTCTTTATCCTCGACGTGAGAGGCAACTGGCATGATGGGTTTTGATCACCTCTGCAGCTCGTCATCACAAGATAATCAAGAAACAACAGTGGAATATTGGCATGAGACGTCAAACTTGTTCAAACTCGGTGTACAATATGTACAATGTCCTGTCCATCTACCTCGATATAAAAATGAATAAACACCATGAAAAACGCAAAGCACGCCCCAAACTCAGGGACTGAAATATCCTGATATCCCCAACCACAAAGCTCGCTCCACGATGGATCATCCGAGATCAGAAAACACCCTCCTCCGCTCCACACGCGCGCATTATTATGATATTGTATAGAAAACCAATGCCCGAGCCGTCTTGTGAGCTCCTCTGTGGCAGAGAAAGGAGGGCAAGAGAAGAGGTTACCCCTTTTTTGACATGAGCAATTATTCAAGTTTTAGCGTCCTGTCCAAATTCGCCTCTGTAAATCCAGAAAAAAGTATTGCAATGCTGTGACATTATAGTGTTCGCTCCTTTTGTGCATCGTCGTTTCAAACGCCGTTTACAATTGACCCGAAAGCAAAGCCTCGGTGGCTGTGATAACATGTTAGTGAAAGATCAGAAGAGGTGAGGTACGGTAGAAACTTACCAGAGTTGATGTAGGCTCTCTTAGCGTCCAGGGGGACGTTGAAGCGTCTCTCAAGCTCCTGCTTGATGCCCTTCTTGGTGACGGTCATCAGATCGGCCGTCTTGAGAATGTCACGGATCTCGGCGAGCAGAGCATCGTCGCTAGGCATGCCAACCATCTCCTCGGGAGAGAAGAATTGTGATCCGCCAAACTGGCTCATGCGGTTGCCGGGCATCTCAGAGTGAGCCAGAGACATGCGAGACATGTTCTGGGGAGCAAAGCCAACCGTCGAGCCAGGGCGGCTGGGCTGGTAGCCGCCATACTCAGAGAAGGGACCTTGAGCCTTGGTGGCGTAACTGTAACCAGAGACCTCGGATCGAACGTCGTCACGAGCCGTCTGGGTCTCCCAAAGCTCGGCCTGGTACTCCTCCCACTTCTTGCGGGGGATAGACTTGGGATCGAACTTGCCCTCATCAGACACGACAATCTTCTTGCCCTTCTCGCCAGCAATAACACGAGTGTTACCCCAGTTGAAGTCATCCATGTGCCAGAAGGAGTACAGAGGCAGGGCAAAGGAGAAGACGGGAATGGCCAGGATGTACATGATCATCCAACCAACCATCTCCCACTTGCGGCGCAGAATGAAGATGATGGCTTGCAAGCCGTAGATGGCAGCGAGCAACAAGAAGGCCGTGATAGGAACAACTGAAGGGTTTGCAATAACCTGGTAGATCAGGTACACAATGTACATGACAATGACGGGCTGGACGATGGTGCTCAGAAGATCGACAAAGACGACGAAACGCATACTGAAACAGCAGAAACCGCAAAGCTGGGCAAGAGGGATAAGTTCAGCCAGGTTGTGAACGGTCGAGTTGATCCACCGACGTCGCTGAGAGAGGAAGACGGCCCAAGAGTCGGGAGCAATAGTCCAAGCCTGCGCGCTGTAGAGATACTTCGTCTTGTACTTGGAATGATACTTGAGAAGGAGGGTCGTCAGGTAACGATCCTCACCAAGGTGAAGCAGGTTCTTCATGTGGAGGGTATCGACACGGATGGTGGAATAGTCCTCGACAATTTCCTTGCTGACGAAGAGGGGCTTGCCAGTCTCAGCAGCGCGGATTCGGTACATGGAGAAACAACCGGGCAAACAAGTGACGGAACCAAACAGACTTTCGAAAGCCTTGGACAAGTTGTGAGAGATCCAGTACTCGTAAACCTGAATCATGGTGATGAACGAAGACCTGGCGTTGGTAAGGGCAGTTTCACCACAGACGGCGATCAGACGAGTGTCATCGATAAAGGACGAAACCATGCGAGTAGCTGAGTCGGGGGCAACCATGGTATCGGCATCGATCTGGAACATGTACTCGTAGAAGGTCGGGTTGACACCAATAATGTTGCGGATTTGGTGGTACATTTCGAGCTCCATGGGACTCATGGCAATGTTATAGTGAACGCGGTTGAGGAAACGCATCATGACCATCTGCGAGTCTCGCTTACCACGGTTACCAGGGCGAGAAACCTCGGAAGGTTTGCCGACCTTGACAATGACCATGAAGGGAACGATGTGACCCTGGACCTCATACAGACCCGAGTAGACCTTGCCCATGTTGTGTTGCTTTTGACCTTCACCCAGAGATTCGAAGCTGAGAGGCTCAGGGTCAACAGTCTCAGACACGCCCAGAATGTCAAGCACAATGCGAGGAGTAGGTCGATCGTTGCCCTGACCAATAATCATACCATCGCAAATGATGACAAGAAGCTTGCGCTTATCGTCGTACTTCATACGCGACAGCGAATCCATGGCACGACGCAGCGAGTCTTCGTCCTCAGTGTAGGCGGGAATCATACACATGACGAACTTGTCAAGGTTCTCAGGCGCGTTCTTGCCTCCGAATTGAAGAGCAGCAAGGAACTTGAAGACCAGGATGGAGGCGAGGACGCAGGATATAGCCAAGATGAAGTACGATGCAAACTGACAACGAGTGGAGTTTCGCGTGTCGACATCGCCGATGTAGAAGAGATTGTTGAGACAGGTGAGCATGCGAGCCTTGGTGAGTTCGTCCAGCCTGAGCTGATCCCAGTACTTGGTGAGGTCACTACCAGCCTTGCTCTGGAATAGTCCTTCAACCTTAGAGTCCATGAATCTGGTAGCACCAGGAATGTTGGGAGCGTCCTTGTCGTTCTTGCCCTTCATACGCAGACCGCCGTTCAGATACATGGTCATATCGTACACACGGCCATTGAGGATGGCGATGTACTGGCTCTTGGTGTCGGCGAGCTTCTTGACGTACTTGGCAGTATAGCCCATTCTACCCTTCATGTGGGTGTGTCTGAGCATGTACATCTGCTCAAAGTACCAATCAGGTCGGCTGTCGTTGGTGAACCATCGGAAGTCGTGGTACTTGGAGTTGAGATCCACATCCCTCTGCAGGAGAAGCTGAGGCTGGCCAGTGATGTTGGTATCTCTGTTCTCGAGGAGAACCTCATGACGAATGGAGCCATCCTTGCCCTGGCATAGAGCGGAAACCTGGACTGGGAAGAGGGCGCTGATGTCCTTGCCGGCATACTTGAGGAAGGTGTCTTCAGAAACCAGCTTGTTGGGGAAATGGTTGATCTGGTAGGCGCCAATATCAAAAACGAAGCCACGGATAGCAGCATAGGCGCCATCGCTACCCTTCTTGCCGTCGTACGAGGACAACTCGGCGGTGCTGTAGACATGTTGCCTTGGGCAAATGAGGAGAGGAAATCCGACCATGACGAAACCAGCAATACCACACATCAGCCAGATGAGCATGTTGATGGCCAGCTTTTCTCGCCAGGCCATACGAACATCCTTTCGAGGCATGCGTCCAACAAGTCGAACAAGGAAATCGGGAATAAACCAGGTAAGCACAAAGACGAGGGCGACCCATCGCTTTCGACTGGGCTTGTCTCTGTACTCCTCGACTTCCTCTAAAGACTTCTCGTTACCTCGCTCGGCCATCTGCTCACGAGTGTCAAGGTTTTTAAACATGTCGCCACCACCAAAGGCAGAGACACCAGCTTCAGAGCGGCTGTCGTCAGTGAAGTAACCACCCTTGGCCTTCTCACCATACATGAGAGGCGTGTTGCCGCCAGAGACAAGGTGCTCCTTGGAGGCGCCGAAGGGCGTTGATTCGGCAGGAGTAAGACCATCACCAGCATCAGAGGATGGCAAACCACCGAAACGGCCTGACACGGAGACCATCTCGCCTAGCTGCGCAACCTCCATCCAGCACCGCTCACTCAAGAAGACACCGGTGGCACCAACTCTAACCTCGTTGTTAGGCCACTGCTTCTCCTCAATGACCATCTCGGCACGCTCGCGTTCGCTGCCAACCAGGATGGTCTCAGCATCTGCCATGCCGAGGAACTCGCCAAATGGCAGGAACAGACTGAAGTCAGCAGAACGGAGTCGCTGGCTGATCTCTGCAATGCCAAAGGTTTGGACCTGGGTTCGAACACACTTGCTGTCGAATTGATTGGCGATACGTCGATCGTTGGGCTTGAGGCAGAAGATGAAGTAGGCGTTGGTACCAGGATCAGTGACCGCCTTCTGCACATTCTCCAGGGAGGACAGGAACTGGCCTGAAGCTCCCTGCTCGATGGTCATCTTGACGTTCTTCCTTGACTCTCCAGCTTGGCTCTTCTGCTCTAGATCCTCCATAGCATCCTGCTGCTGGCGTCGGTAGGCAGTGTTGGGCCTAGCGGTTCGGTGTGTCTTTCGGGACATGACACTGGGTGCTCGCATGGGCTTGGAGCTGACAGTGGCCTGCATAACAGCAGTACGCTCGTTGGGGTGGGTGACGGTCTGCAGAGCCTCCTGGCCAAAGAGACGAGCGACAAACTCGCTCTTGGTGCCATTGATCATGTTGAGAAGATCGCCCGAAATAATCTCACCGTTCTCCTCGATCAAGCCCTTGACAGGGTAGTCAACCTCACCTGCAAAATGCTTAACGGTAAAGCACGCAGAGGTGTTCTCGGTCATGAAGTTGCTACCAGGCAGCTTGGCAGTGGCAGCACCAACCTCGATAGCAGCGTTCTTGCCATCGAAGCGTCGTCGAAGAGACTCCAGAAGCTGCATGTCAGATCGGTTACGGCGGGTTTGATCATCCAGAATGCTGAGAAGACCGTTACCGGGCTTCAGAATGCCTCGCACAGCATCTGAGTTATCGAAGTAGCTGGTTGGTGCTACGCTGACTTCCTCAGACTCAAGCATGTCAGCCTTGCGGTCGAAGAAGTTCTGGAGAGTCATGTTATAGATGCTCTCGGTGGCAGCGTTGTTGAGAAGCTGGTCAAGGGCGGATCCAGTGGCGGTTTGCTGAGAGAAACCAGGGAAGTCCACGACGGAAACAGTGTTCGCAATGGATTCCTCGGGAGCGCAGAGGCGCTGGTTGATAGTCTCAAGGATCCAAGCAACGAGGAGAGAGTAGAGTGTGCGCGCAAGTTCACCAGCGTGAGCGCGGGCGCCGTTGGGGTCAAGCATCACAGTAACTCGCTCCTTGTGGATCATCTTGGTCTTGTAACCCAGAGTGGTCTGAAGATCAGCAGCGCTGACACCCAGGAAGGCGGCGATGATGGAGAGAACATCCTTGTTCTTCACGGCGGTGACTGTGCTGCCACCCTCGTGAGAGAAGCCACCGCTGTCGTCTCCGGTGACGCTGGTCTGGCTGGTCGACTCGAACTCGAGCTGACCAATATGGAGAATACTTGCGAGAATCTGGCAAATCTCGGCAATCTCAGCGCGAGGGAATTCGAGCTTTCGCAGAGCATTCTTGAAGACCTGGAAGCCTTCGGCATCGTTGATACCAACCTTGAGCTGGGTGGGATGACCGAGATACTTCCATCGCTTCTGCGAGGTGCCTGTCGGGCCAGCAGAATCCTCCAGACCCAAGTGGGACTTCTCAGCGTCACTCGTACCAGCTAGCAGGTAGTACAGAACGTGGAAGTTTCGTTCGCCGGTGGGTACATCGGCAATACGACTACGCTCAAGTCGGTGGTCAAGGAGCTTACCACCGATGAGGATGGGGTTGGTTGTAGCCGAAGTGTCGTACTGGAGTTCGTAGAACAAACCTGACTTGGAAGCGGTGGGGGTCGTAGCCGTCTTGGTCGTCGTGAGAGTATCGAAAACGTAGGCGGCGAGCGAAAGCTTGGTGGACAGTGGTGTTGATGACTTGTTCAGGAGAGCTGTGAGCAAATGGGCTCGAACAGTCGACTTGCCAGAACCAGATTCACCCCTGGCATTGTTAGTGTCCACACATTAAATATTCGATTTTATCTCATGAGATATCACATACAGAAAGACAAGGGCCTGGTTCTCGGATCGGTGGCCTAATCGAAGGTATGCGCGGTCGGCCAAATCCTCAGCGCCAGCCATGGCGCTTCCTTCCTTGCCGCCATCAGGGCCCTTGGTCGAAGAAGTATAGGTGTTGAGAGAGATGAGAGCGTGAGACGAGAGTTGGGCGGTTGGGAGAGAAACATGGAAACGACTGGCGAGATGGGCAGTGAGATGCGTATCGGATTGGAGATGCGCTGGGAGCGAAGGCAGCGAGGGTTGGGTGTGAGGACCCCCTCCGCTGCCCAGGTGTGGGAGGCTCATGGCCATGATGCACAAGAAGCCAAAATTTGGCTATCTCGATGAAGTAGCTGGCTCGGTAAGGGTTCGTTCAATGGTCGATGCAGATGACTTGATGGGCTCGGGGATCGGGGATGGGAAATCGACCGTCTTCGAGTCGTGGTACAATCTTCTGTTGCGAATGGCGTCGGCCACGTTACCGGGTCAAATGAGAACGGTCAACGGGCACTCTGAGCGAGAGTAAGGGTGCGGGTAGACAAAACGAGCGTCAGAAACAACAAGAAAAGAATTAAAGGGAGGAAAAAGGCGATAAGGAGCCTTCACCAGGTCGTGAGGTTGTTCGGCGCTACTAACTGTTCACAACACCAATAAAAACAGCCTGGGAAAAGGGATTGTTTTCTTGGGACAGGCAGACCACATGCCATCCTGCCTCCGCTGGATACGGGGAGGAGGGTACGTACACCGTGGGAGGTGCCAGTTTTTTCCGTACGGCTGACCACAGGGGCCGAGAGCGCAAGAACCTCATGGGCGCAGCAGGCCCCCCTTTGCACTTTGGTATTCATTGCTATGTTTGTCCCACGACCACGGCATAAAACGGACGCCATACGAGCTTTTTCCCTGCCCATAGCCACACGGCAGGCCCGGCAGCGTCTTCCCCTGGATCTGCCCTCTTCTTTCTTCTTCCTCTGCCTTGCCCCGATCTCGAGTCTGTCATAGCCTGGATTTTGCTACAGCACTAAGCGGAGACTGGCTCTCCTGTTCGTCTAGCAAGGAGCCTCATCTACATGACGGAGTCCCAAAGTTTAACGGTCATATCATCCAAGACTACGGAAAATTAGAGATTTCTGAAACTGCGCTTTGGGGACTAATCGAATCTGCAATCATAATGAGATCAACGCACTGTACGCGAGATGGCCGGGTGGCAGATTTGCAGCCAAGCGACAAAGGCGTGGTGGCTCCCCTCTAATGATGGATGTCTCTTTTTCTCGGTCTCACTTGGCTTTGATCCCGCGCCACAAACGGTCTATCGCCAAAGGATCGGATGTCTAGGAAGCATTCCTCATGGCGCGTCTAGTCAGTCATGGTCTCTCGTCAGACAGACACACTCATCCGCCAGTCTACGGAGGAACAGACGGCAAAAAAGAGGCGGTACTCTGCCTCTCGTGATGGCTGCATCATCAGGGGACTTTGGCTGACGGGCGACTTGTCATGGATCCATCATGGTTGGTACGAACCCAGGCCCTAAAAAGAAAAATGCCCCTGGTCTGTCTGTTCTGGCCCAGCAACCGACCGGCCGTTCCCCAAACGGCATCCACCGGATGCTGTCCCCCATGGTCAGGGACGCGGCGGGTCATGCAAAAGGCTTGTTTACTGTTTATGCTCCGTACCGTGTCGGGGCGGCTTCTGTGACACGGCTCTCTCTAACGAGGCCTTCGAATGGGAGGCTTGAGACCTTGGCGTCTAGTTTTCCGCAATTCTCAACCAACCGAGCTCGCAAGTCCGCTACCTCCTCCATCATGGCCACTGAGCTCGGGAAGAGCCCTAGACATGGCGTTCCGAGTTCCACAGCTCAATGTGTGATGTGATACGGGTGAATTCGAGATGGGTGATTCGAGACAAGATGAAGGGATTGAGACAGGATGACAGGCTGATCGGGTTCCTGGGTGAGACGGCAGTGGGTCGACTGCCTTTCCATCCCAACTATGGGTTCGTCCACGACTCTTATGAGCAGGATCCAAGACGTGGCATACGGCATTCAAGGGAAGGGAATACCCCAAGATGAAGGGGTTGAAAAAAAAATGATTCGGGCAGTGCGGATAGATGGACAATATGGCAATCTCTTCTCTATTTTCCAGGGGATTGCATTACTCCACTGCGGACAACTCAAAGCCCGCTTTACCCCGTCACAGCTAGACATCATCAAGCCAGGGCCTGGCCTGTCAGCACATCCTCGTCTCGCTAGGATCAGCGCTGGCCTTAATGATCGATCCTCCCTGATCAAGCTTCTGGAATGCGAGGACGGAGATGCTAGCCTGGACCAAAGCCGTTCCCTGCTTGCTGTTATTTTGGGAGCCAGAGTGTCAACGATGACGGAAGACGGTCCATCAAGCCCTTATTCTAGCTCCACGAAATGCCATCTAGGCTGGCCTTCATCCCTTGGCCTCTCCGATTCCCCCACGATGGAGAAAATCTAGGCTGTGAGACGCGTGCATGTGTGGGAGAGACGTGTTGTGTGTGGAAATGTCCGAGACACCCATTCACTGATCTGCGAGACGTGATGAGGCCATGGGACTGGGGGGGATTCTCTTGCGCTGGCCCCCCTTGGCCCATGCCCCAGCCGTCCATCATTACACTCAGTCAGCGTCACTGGCCAGCGGATTGACGGCTGAGGAGATGGCTACGGTGGTCTTCTAGGCGTGGCTTGGCTGAAATGGGTTCAGCTGAGACGGCCAGCTGGAAGCGCCATGGGCGCCCGTCTCCGAACGGCCGCGTCAAGTATAAGCGAGAGAAGCAAGAAAATTTCATTTATCAGCAGTGGCATAGGGTAGGGTTAACTTGACTTGCAACAAGGCTCTATGTTGATCAGTGATGGAAGACCTCCTGAATTGACGGACGTATCAAGACAAGATCTTCGCGCAGTCGATCCATCGATCATCTGTGACTCTGCCCAGATTCAGGTGTTGTGGTTTTGAGAATCCTGCTGTTCCTCTTGCTCATGCAATAACATCCTGTACCTATAGAGGGCTGAGTGGGAAAATGCAACGGTACATAACATCCAATGTCAGGTCTGAGAATAGGACCACGTATCCACGCATTCAAATGCTGGTCTGGATCCCGCCCATTAAGCACATGTCGACGCATAGAGGATGGCATATGTCAGCAAAAAGCACCACCAGATAAAAATGTAGTGAGGTGACAATGATGGATCACGGTCAAAGATCACCCACAAGACCTCGATGACAACACAGCCTCCGCTCCCTCGCGGCTAACGGGCAAGTAACGTCGTAGTGAACCATGATACGAACCTTACATCAACTTCGAAACCGGCATTTGTGCATTGCATCGCAAAAAAGTCGGGGCTTGGACGCGTACCTCAACGCAGAGCACTTTGCCTTCAGGCTCGTATTTGGCCATCACAGGCCCACCACCACAACCCACGAATCCAATCCAGTCCCGCCCTTAGTAAACACTCAAGGTTTCCGTCCCTCGGGTCGAGAGCCCCCCCCTTGCCCCTACAGGCGATGGCTCACCCGCCTTGTTCCAAGTTTAGATATGAACGCTACAGTGTGGGTGTGGTGGCTCGCAGCCCAAAGCAGTATCCTGTACCTCTGATGGCCACCTAGCCCGTCCCGCAGAGCTGACCGTCCCGTCCAGTCGAATCGGGCCATCCGCCAGCCGCCCCGCAGTAACCCCCTAGAGCCCGCCTGAAGCGCCACGTCCCCGGTGCTAAAACCATCACGGATGGGCCGTTGGCCCTGAATTTCTGCGCACATAGCCCACGCGGTCGGCCGTACACAGTGCGCTTGTCAGCCGCCAGTGTCAGCGTATCCATTCTCGGCCTCGCCCTTGTGCTGGGGCACGCTACGACCACGCTACCTACGCCTGCTACCTCTTCTTCGCCAGACCAAGACCCCATCGCTTCTTCAACTTCTTGGAAAGCGTTCGTCTTGAGCGTTGTTCTGCATTTTTTCCATCGCTTTCACTACAGCTTCATTGACCAGCCTCACTCGCTCCGGCTGCGTCCTCTCAATCGTTAATATCGTCATTCCCCGGATCTTCCCCTCAACTTCGCAGCCACTAAGGCCGTGATACTTGCTCGACTTGGAAAAGGAGGGCCGCGTTGCCCAGCGACCCAAACCTTCCTCTCACGACTTTGCCGACTTCGTTACAGCCGCTCAGCCGCATAGCCTGCAGTCGACCGTTGTCCCGCCCGTTCGCTATTCTCCCGTTACCGTCTGTCGCTCTCATTGTTGCCTTGGACACCCTTCTACACCAAGTCTCCCTCGTCTCACTGAGCATCGGTGCCTCGATCCGAAAACCGTTCTTGTCCAACATAATCATCGCGACGTGCCGCTTCCTGTGATTGTCCCGCGAGGACATCACTGTCATCAACCATGGCGAGCCGAATGTCCATGTACTCGATGGCATCAGAGGCCCTGGGTGGTGGCCAACCCACCCAGGTGTCCACCACAACTCTCCTGAATGCCATCCACAATATCTACTTGTCCTCTCAGCCTCATCAACTCGATGCCAGCACCAGCCTCGTCGTCAACACCTGGCTCACTGCCGCTCAAGTTGGTCCTACTGTTGATGCTTCTCTCGCTGCTCGTGCTTGGGAGCACGCCCGACGACGAGCCGAAGATGGTTGTGTGATTCTGGGGTACGTTGAACATGTCCGCTTGGATTTTGGTTCACTTGGCTAACATATTACAGTTCACTTCACCCATCAACTCCTTCTCTCCTCGTGCCATTCCTCAACACATTTCCCTTCGCGATCCCCTCGTCCGTTCACAAGTCCCTGGAAGCTGTCCGGCCGTTCCTCCGATGCGTGACGCCAAACAACCCTTCGGCCGCCAGACAGATTGCCCTTGGTGTCACCCTCACCCTGAACCTCACAGGAAATGTCACCGGTGCCACACTAGCACTTTCCCAGGGCGGCATCGACACTAAGAAGGGTCTGCTCAACATTCCCGCCGAAGCTGGCTACCGAGCCTTCGATGTGTTCTACTACCTCCTCACCTCAGCATCCACCCCTGCCGAGCGAGAGTTCCTGGGTCTCAAGCCAGCGTCCGCATACGCTCTACTTGCTCGATCTGGCACCTATGATCCGCCATCCTATCTTCTGACTGCTGATGACGCTGCTTCTGCGGATGATTTCCGTCAGGCTCTTAAGGAGATTGGTATTAAGGGATCAGCCCACCGTAACTTCATTTCTACGCTCGCTGGTCTCCTGAAGCTCGGCAACACTCTCGACTACGCTGCCGATTCTGATGACCTGGAAGAGATTTGCGAAGATGTCAGCGGACTGC